CCCGGATCCTCCTGTTAGTCTTAATGGTAAGCATGATGTTTGCCTTTTTCAGACATCATGAACTTCCCTTGCTCACCATGACCTTTGAAAATTGATAAAAGAGTGGGCTCATAATGTCATTCCTATATCCATTGTAAAATAATTCTAAAATTGTTATGTTCTAGGACACTCTAAAGGGTCAGTACATACAATTTCCCTCAGGAATGAATGAAGTAAACTTCTTTGAAGTCAGACATGTTTGTCAGAAAGGAAATATTTACCAAAACAGTATCAAAAGACTCCACGTATAAAAAGACTCCATGTTAAATATGCAGTCGTATCTTTGCACATTTAATTAGGGAGTTTGCACAGTGGTAATGTAAACTATACAAAATATAATGTTCCTGCACAAGCTTGGCAATGGCGAAATTCCTTTTCCTTCTTCCATCAGAAAAGATGCAATCTGGGAAAAGTGGAAGTGTCTGTCACAGCAAGAGAGCAAACAAAGGCTAAAACAGGAAATAATTTTATTTCTTCTTTATGAGTAAAGACAATTACAAAGAAAATATTCTTCATGGATATCTTCAGAGGCTATCTCCATTGCAATATTATGTCATATGTGCACATGGATCTATCAGTGCAGCTGAGGCTGAGATGATCCTCATGACAACTTTGGAATCTGTGTAGTTCAGAACCAGATTTTTGTTCCTGATATAATTTTGAACAAGTACATCTGTATTGACTGGAAAATCACAACTCTGAGCTACAGCATTACCTTTTCAGTACAGATGCACAGAAAGTGAAAATATTCATCTAAATCCACTAAAAATTATGTCTTTTTTTCCAGCTAGCCCTACTCCCCAACCATTTGCATACGCTACAGCTTTTATTTTTCATTTTTTTTTCTCATTTATTTCATTTTCTTTTAAGACGTATGAATTAAAAAGTAGATACGGTAAGCTGCATTTCCAGTAAAGACCAGTTTTACTGAAATCACTGTAGGTTTATTTGGGAATAAGGATTGGAATCTAACCAGCTGAGTAAAGATTACAGAACAGCATGCTTTAGTTATTAATTATATTTCAAACGTCACTTAAGGATTTTCCTGCAGTTCTATACAAACTAAAAAGTGACATCTGGCTTTGTGAGATGAAGAAAACCTCTGCGCTGCGATCATACGTACAGAAATGAAACAAGCCTAAAGAATCTTAGAGGCATCTGTAAATGACCAGAAACACTTCAAAATTCAGAAAGATCTCTGAAGCCCCTTTTATTATTATTTTTTTAAACATACGACAAACATTATGAACACATAGAAAAATATAAAAAAAGTCAATTGTAATACTAGTAAGATTTACTAGAGGACTGTTAGAAAAAATTACACAGGAAGTTACTTCAGAACTGCTTGAATTTCTACTGAAAACAAATACAAATAATCTTTGTGCGTGTGTGTGTGTGTGTGTTGAAGAATGCAAAATGTCTGGTGGCACAAAGATACACAGCTTTCATCTTCTGAGACAAACAATTTATTCCAACTAGTTGCTCTAGGGTAGTTTTGGCACTGTCCTTACATGCAGTTCAGGGCATCAAAATTAGAAGCCTGAGTTTCTTGGAGTCAATACGGAGAGGTTGGCACCTCAGTAGTGGCAATTGAAAGTGAAAAATTCAATACCTAAGTGCAATTCTTTGTGCCACACAACAGTAGCCAAAATAGAAAAAATCATGGATTCTCAACCATTTGAACAATTTGTCAAGAGTTGTATGTGACTAATGTTAATATTATTTTAAGATCAGTAGATGATTTTTCTAAACAAAGAAGCAAACAAACAAAAGAGCAAGAGCTCTAATTATCTGTAGTTATTGGGATGTTTTATGATCTTTTTCATGCAGAATGCCAGAACAAATGACCAAAAAGCATTCTCTTGGCTTTAAAATCAATGCCACCATAGCATATTAAATAGGAAATAAAAGAAAATCAAACAGTAAACTATGGGTTTCAATCACCCTATAATTGATCTGTGTAATTTCTACTTTAAGGGCAATTAGGCTCTCTCAGGGGGAATAGTAAGATTTCTCTTTTCAGCTACCTGTAATTGCTGGTGGTAGACTATAAAGGAGAAATAACAGGATATAAAAATGGCATGAATTTATGGCATCTTGTTCATCATGACTACAGGATATCTACATGTACCTTACTAGAAAAATCAGAGAAAGAACTAGGAGCAACCTGAATCAGGGAAGAGGTGATACTAACAGTAAGTGCTCTGCCCTAGCACTGTGCTAGTGAAAGAGAAAAGCACTGCCAACTGTGAGGTTGGGACAGGGATCTCGTCATTACTATATACATCCTGCCATGGTGTAAAGGAGGAGTAGAGCCAAGAATGGACATGGATGGAAGAAATTGAGAGCCAGAATGGGGTAATGTGAGGCCAGACAAGGCCAGCTGCCAGCTGTGCAGAGATGTGAAAATACAGCTATCATGAAAGAACTGATACCTAATTTCATGTTATTTAGCAGAATATTTCAATGCTGCTTAGACCTGCTTTCCTACAATAGCATGGTATGGATATATAATTCTCAACATCAACCAACGAAGCAAGGTCTGTCTACACTACACAGATAGATAAAAAGGAAAGAGGAAAGGGGAAAGAAGGAAATCTTGAAATCTTGTACAGAAAAAAAAAGCAACTCCAAGAAAAATATCTGTGCACTCAGCCACTCTGGATAAGCAACCACATCAACTGCATTTAGACAAATTAATTAAAATAGGTTTAAAACCAAAACTCTTTCCTGGCTGAAGTTCACAACAGTTTTTCACTAGCTGAATTTGGAAATATACAATTTTTGTAATTTCTTAGACGCACAACTTGTTTAAAAACAAAAACAGCTCACACCACTCACCTGAAGTAGGACCGAGAAATGAGAACAGCCCCAACTGAATAATTGGAATGAAACTTTAATTGGAGTTTCAAGATCCCATGCACTGAAAAGAATTATCGTCTTGAAAACTGGCAAAGCATTCCTAGATTCACTACAGTCTCCCAGTTTTGTTTTGTTTTCTTTTTTTTTTTACAAGTTCTACAAAACTGAATGGCCACAAAAGAAAATTTTAAAATAAGCTGTTTCAAGATTTCAGACATACAGAGGAAAAGTTACTTCGAGAGACAACAGAATATACATCAGACTTCTGTCATTCAGATAATAGAGAGAAAATGTGCACTCTTGATCCAGAGAGAAAACTACAAACCAAATTCTAAAAGGCCCTTTTTTCCTTGAAAAGATCTGTGTTTTCCTTATTTTCTTGGAGAATTTTCTTATCTATTTTCAAATCAGGCTGTACATTCCATGTTCTACCTTTTCTACTACACAACATAAAATTACAATTGTTGTTAGCAGAATTGTTTTTCTTTTCATGGAAATAAAATTTTCACTGTATGTTCTTGTTTTATTTTGTTTTTAAACAGCAGCATATGATCTTTGTGTTCCTTAGTGTTTAAACTAGTAATTATATCCCTAGAACTGCAACAGCCCACTGAAGCTGTGTACAGAGAGTGTACTTCTCAGTCCTCAAACTAGCATTTCCAGAGAAAGCATCCAATTCCATTATGTGATCTCATTGTTACTATCAACTATTTTAAAAGCCTATGCGAAGGCATATTTCTCCTATAAACTGAAGCTGCTTTATTTTCTACCTTGTCATGGTAGATTTCAGGGAACCTACTGTAGGTTACATACAGTAACCTTACTGCATGTTGAAGATAAATAAACCATATGCACAAAAGTATAATGTCTAAATTTAAAAATATTTAATCTAAAATTTTATCAATTGCAATACTTGCATAATTGCATTGTACTATCCAGAAAGGAAGGAAAAAAAAAAAAAAGACACCAAATAGCAACATCACAACAAAATAAAAACAAAACAATCCAAAAAGTCATACATAAGCAATGTAAACATCATAGATCAAGACGTTATTCTCTGTCTTTCCAGATAAGTGATTAACTTGCTAAGCCTTTACTGTTAGGTGTTAAAAAATTCAAATGCCCATTTAAATACCTTCAAATATATTAATGGCTCATTTTTTAAAATAAAGTTCCAAGAATATTTATAAAGACATAAAATAATCAACTTCTAATGGTTTTATCTTACAGTTAAATGAGTTAAAGTTTATTTGTTTGGAAAGTGATTTGCTAACAAATGAATTTCCTCTTGGAGACTAGAAACTTTTTGTGACTTAGAAAGTAAAAGACAGACAGTCATTCAGCTACTTCGCTAAAGATGACTTCTGTCATTTCCATTTCCCCACAGTTCCTGTCCCATACACAGATATGGAGCTGACAGATAGGGCACATGACATACTTTGGACTGTTAGCAGGAATCCAGATGTGAATAGAACTGAACACTACTTCTGGGTACCTGAATTGCTCTGAAATGTCTGAAATGTCTATCACTTTTGCACGTCCCAAAATTGCTGCAGTATTACATTCTCCACACTTGTATTTCTGAAGTAGTTAATTTTCCAATCAATACATTGGGATTACTGGCACCCCTGGATTCTTTTTGTCAGGCTTCAACAAAGATGCTGAAAGTGCTCAGAAACTTACAGAAAACTGTTTGCAAGGTGGTACATAAAAGTCCTATTCTTTTTGCATTTAAAACTGTTTTATCTACCCTTTCTCCTCCTCCATACACAGGATATACAAAATCCAGTCTTCCCCTCTTTGCTCACACACAGTCTGGCCATTAAATTTACCATCTCATACCCAGAACTGTTGAAGTCCAGCAATCAAGAATCTTTTCACAGCTCTGTAAGGCTTGAGGGGCACTTTTCTTAGGTCTGCCAGGCACACATAGATTCTCTTCACTGCTGTTTCCCACCGTGTTTCACTGCCCAAGTGAGTTACAGCACTTTCCCACTTGACGCCTCTCACAGAGCATTTACTCAGAGCATCTCATGCTTGCAAAATAAGAATATTTGCAACAAGCTCGTACCTCTCCTAACCCACCACAGCTTACTCACAGAGTCTGAGTGTCCTCTGGAAGGCTGGGAATGAAGTGGATGTCCCTGCAAGTAATTTTGTAGTCATCCCAGTCGGAGCACTCGCAGAAGGCTGACGGGCACCTTTCCGTGCCCTGGCTGCACAGCACCAGCACCAACTGGAAGGCGACAGGCAGCCACAGCATCTTTCACCACCCTTTCCCACTCTGCCCCTCGCTTCCAGAGGAGATAAGAGGGCACAGCCCACCGAGAGCAGCAGCTCGGGAGAGGCGGCACCTCTGCTGGACAACCCGCCCCTTCCCGCAGCGGGACCAGCGGACGGCTCTCAGAACCGTGCTCGCCTGCTGCACGGAGAGAGCTCCGTCTACCCCGCCCGGCCCCCGATGCCCACCCCCTCCCTCCCCGCGGGGCAGCCGCTTCCCGGCCCCCTCCCGCCGCTCTCCGGTGCAGCAGAGCCTCCCGCAACCGCGGGGATCCGGGGCCACCTGCCGACGGCGGCCGCTGCTGCCCTGCGCGGCAATGCCCGGCACCGGACGGCCTCGCCGCTTCGCCTTCGCGGTCGGCTGCGGGACGATGTCGTCGAGCTGTCTTCTAACGCGGCGGAGTGACTTGTGGACGCCGCACTCGTTTTCCAGCACCTCTGCAGCAGAGAGGAACTGTTCTGAGCAATACCGAGTCGCTTGGAAGAGCAGCTAGAGCTTGAATGGTTGATTTTAGGGACGTGGTTAGTGGGCGAAGTGCTGATGGGTCGACGGCTGGACTTAGACGATTGGGTCTTAGAAGTCTACCTTAGTAATTAAATGATTATATGATCTTTAAAGGCCCCTTCCAAGCTTAACCATTTAACAATCCAATGCTTTTCACCAAATAAAAATTCCCTATCTGTAAAGTAAATATGTAAATAAATATGGTAAAGTAGATAAAAACAGCATTAAAAATTTGAAAAAAGCGATTTTGAAAGCTACATGATAAAAGAGAGCAAAATGGAAAGACAAACTTTTTTTTTTTTTTTCAGATTCCAGAAAAGATAAAATCCTTTCACATAAGATGAGAAAAAAAATACCCAACCTTGAGATAAACAAGCTAGAACCACTGTTGTTTCAAGTGGTCACTGGTAGAGACACTATTTACAAAGTGCACAGACATCACAGCAGTCAGACCTGCATCTGACAGACATAATGAAAGCTGAAAAGACCTGGTTAATACTAAATTAATTCTAGCTTTCTTCATACACACGTGATGCTTCCTAAAAACAAATATTTTTTAAAATATAAATATGTAACTGTTGAATTCAATGAGGCAGCTCAAATAAAATTTATTAATTCTTTGCCTCAATACTTGTTACTCTCTTTTTTTTGAGTCTAAATGCCAGTCATTTTTCCTTCTTCATGCACATATTGTGCACAAAACAAGAAAAATGCCAACCAAATGTCAAAAAAAAGTGTTTGTAACCGTCTAGGAAGGAGGAAATTGAGAGAAGTAACCTGCTCACAGTAAGAAATTAGACATGGTCATAATTTTTAGAAATGCAATATAGATACAGCAAAAAATGAAACAAGAATAAAATTTATTGAAGTGAAGCTAGGCTCAGCTTGAGCCCTTTATCCAAAGACAGTAATCAGCCACTAGCCAACTTCTTCTAACATACCATGTGTTGAAATATTCAGCATGCTTCAGCTGCCTTCAGAATTTTTCTAGAATATCAAACTTCTCTGCTGATTTTCTTGTTCTTACTGTTAGAATAGCTGGCTTGTGCCAGGGATGCTGCATTCTGTATTAGCAACAGGACATGAAAATCTCAGTTCCTTAGTTCCTTTTGACTTGGGGAAATAAATGATTGACACAGCCTGACACAGAGGAAAACAAAATAATCTAGCAAAATGAAGAGATCACTAGAGAGATCTCTGTCTTATCTTGATCAATGCTTTTAGCTGCCATGAGTCTATACTACACTTAATTTCTAGGCAGTGACTAAGAGCCATAGTTGAAAGCCATCTTTTTTTACACAGAAAATATTGCCTGACACTGTCCAGCAGCAGCTTGTCAACTTCGAGCTGTAGCATTAAATTCCACTTCCAGCTTAATCTCTGTCCTCTTTTAACCTTCTTGATGATCCAATGCAACTAAGGGTACTACGGAAGAGTCCACGTTTTTCACAACAAACAAGGACCAGTGAGATGAAGAGAGTGGGGACCTGTACTCCCTCTTTAAAGGTAGCACTGATGGAGTGATATTTTGTAACCTACTGTGAGTGCTCTCTTGAAAACTCTCCCTCGTGGACTAAGCAAAAGAATATTAGTTTTTTTGGTGGACAATAGGCAGTCCCTTGACTCGAGTCATTTCAGTAGGTTTTCATAAACCCGATCATACTTATTCATTTTGTGTACAAAAGATATCTTTATGTTACTTACCTTTACTAATAAGCTACCTCCTATTAGCTATCTGTAGTAATTCTGCTGCGGGCTCTTAAACTAGAGGATGACTACATTGTTTCATTCCTCAGTCACTGAGGCAAAGTTAAGTTTTACTCAGTGGGGAGAAAAGTAAGAGCACAAGAACTGGCAACAGAAGCATTGGTATGTCAGCTGCTCCATGGCAACCACAGTAGTCCAAGTGTTAATGGAAGGAATAAATATCTTCCCAGCTCTTAATAATAGGTAAAAAATATCAACAATGAATGGCTTTAGGCCAAAGAAATGTCAAGGATGAGGTGGCGAAAAGCCAGCATGGATGGACAAGAATCTCATGGATAAACTGAAAGGAAAGAAAGTCCATGAAATGTGGAAAAGGGGACCTGCCCACCTGGGAAGAATAAAGGAGTGTTTTCAGGCCCTGCAGGGATACAGCGAGGGAAGGTAAGGCCCTCTTAGAATTAAACCTTGTAAAGGAGGCAAAGGATAGCAAGAAAGGTTTTTTTAAGCATGTCAACAGTAAAAGGAAGACTAGGGAAAATATGGGTCCCCTACTAAATGAAGTGGGTGCCTTGGTAACAGGGGACACTGAGAAGGCTGAAATTTTGAATCTCTTCTTTGCTTCAGTCTTTATTGCTCAGACTAGCCCTCAGGAATCCCAGACCCTGGAGATAAGAGAGAGAGTCTGGGTAGAGGAAGACTTTCCATTGGTTGAGGTGTATCTGGTCAGAGAGCATCTAGCCAAAATCAATGCACGTATATCCATGGGCTCCAATGGGACGCACCAACATCTGCTGAGAGAAATGGCTGAATTGTTTTCTAACATCTTTGAAAAATCCTGGCAAATGGGAGAGGTACCTGAAGACTAGAGGATAGCCAGTATCACTCTAGTCTTCAAAAACAGGAAGGTGAATATAGGAAACTACAGGCCAGTCAGCCTCAACTCCATCTCTAGAAAGGTGATGGAACAATTTGTTCTGGATGTCATCTCCAAGCAATGGGAAGAGAAGAAGGTTATCAGGAGTAGCCAACATGGATTCACCAAGGGGAAATCATGCTTGACCAACCTGCTAGCCTTCTGTGATGTCGTCACCAGCTGGGTAGATATGGGGAGAACAGGGAATATTGTGTACCTTGATTTCAACAAGGTGTTCGATACTGTCTCCCAGAACATCCTCGTTACAAAACTTAGAATATGTGGGATAGATAAGGTCATGGTGGATTGAGAACTGGCTGACTGGCAGAGCTCAGAGGGTTGTCATCAGTTGTGCAGAGTCTGGGTGGAGGCCTGTAACTAGTGGTGCTCCCCAGGGTTTTTTTTCTGGGTCCAATCTTTTTCAATGTCTTCATCAGTGACCTGGATGAAGGGACAGAGTCCACACTCAGTAAGCCTACAGATGACAAAAAGCTGGGAGAAGTAGCTGGCACTACTGAGGGCTGTGCTACCATGGACAGACTGGAGAGTCGTGCACGAAGGAACCTGATGAGGTTTAACAAGGGCAAGTGTAGAGTCTTGCACATGAGGAGGAATAACTACATATACAGGTTAAGGGGTGGCCTGTTGGAGATGAGCTCTGAGGAGAAGAACTTGGGGGTCCTGGTGGAAAACAGGTTGGCCATAAGCCAGTAGTGTGCTCTTGTGGTCAAGAAGGCCAGTGGTATCCTGGGATGAATTAAAAAGAGTGTGGCCAATTGGCTGAGGATGGTGATCTTCCCCCTCTACTGTGCCCTGGTGAGGCCAAATTTTGAATACTGTGTCCAGTTCTGGGCTCTCTAGTTCAAAAAAGACAGGGATCTCCTAGCAGGAGATCGGCGGAGGGCCACAGAAATGATGAAGAGTCTGCATCTCCAGCGTGAGGAAAGACCCCATAACCTGGGTCTGTTCAGCCTCAGGAAAAGAATACTGAGATGGGATCTGATCAATGTTTATATATATAGAAAGGGAGGTGGGACACAAATGGATGAGGCCAGGCTCTTCTTGGTGGTGTATAGTGATAGGACAAGGAGTTATGGCTTAAAACTTGAACATCCATACTAACATGCAGAAGAATTTGACAGTAAGGGTGTCGGAGCACTGGAACAGGTTGTGGAGAGAAAGGTTGTGGAGTCCTTTTCTATGGATATGTTCAAGACTCTTATGGATGCCTACCTGTGCACGCTATTGTAGGATACCCACTTTAGCAGAGGGCTTGGACTCAATGATTTCTTCAGGTCCCTTTCAATGCCTACAATCCTGTGATTTTGTGATTCTGTGAAGGCTGGTACTGAAGTTGTAGATGTTATGAGTAGATTTCAAAAGGAGTAAGAACTGTTCGATTCATGGTTTCTGGATTTGAATCTCAATGTCAGAAGAATTTAATTCCTCTAATTCAAAGCCTGATAGCCTTGGAGAAAATACGACAAAAGCTGTGACGTCAGCCTCAGGAGAACTCCAAGTCTGGGTGCATTTCTTCCAGGGCTTTGAGACTTGGGCTTACATGTTCAGAACTCCAAGGATTTTCAGAGAAAAAGGCTGTTGCTAACCACGGGGTGATTTCACAGGCACTAGCTTAGCCCTCAGAAAAGTTCTGCTCTAACTGAAATGACATTGTAGTCTCTCACATAAGTAGAAATACATAAGGAGCCTGTCAGCTAGAGGCCAATTTCTCTACCCCATTACTGTACCCCTATTTCATTACTTGGCCAGCTATCCAGCTGATGTCCCAGCCTGGTCCAGCCAGTCCCTGTGCCCAGGCAGGTGCCCAATGCTTAGGGCTGCCCCTGTGCCCCAGCTGCCCTGCTCCTGGCTGGAGTGTTGAGATGGTTCCCATTGTTGTCCTGCTCTGCTGCCCTGATACCCAGCACAGAGGGATACATCCTGCTAGCCATGCTCTGTCTTCCCCTAGACACCTTCTGGTCTCTCTAGACAATGTTTTCTAACAAGCTGGTGGATGGTGAAACCAAAAGTATGTTTGCAAAACTACATATGGCCCCAGGCTAGGGGGGTCTGTAAATTCTAGATCATATTATCAAACTTTTAAAATGACTTTGATAGCTTAACAGGAAGAGGAAAATGCAAGTCACTACATGCAAGAAGACACCTTCTGGATGACAGGAAAAAATAGAATATTACACAGTTATTCCACTTTGCATTTATTGAGTTGTCTGCAGTACTGTATCTGATTTGGGCATTAATTGCAAAGACAGAAACAGAAAAACTGAGGATTATTCTGTGGATAGTGAAGAAAATAGAAGGTTTTAGAAGCATGACTATTAAAGGAATGGTGGAAAAGTACTGTTTAGCTTAGGGAAGACTGCAAGTATTTTAGAACATAGAAAGGAATCAGTAGTTCTGACCTCACCAGTCCTGAAAAGTGATGGTATTTAGCACTTCAAATTGAATGGCAGCTTGTCATCCCATGTAAAATGTAAATAAATATTCCTTTCTTTTATACTAAAATAATGTATTATAACTATCACCCACATTTTACATACATACATGTTCAATCATATATATATATAATATGCATATACATAGATATACATACAGTTATATATAGAACTCTAGAGACGGACATTCAAAATCCTGTATGCCCTCACTATAAGGAAATGAAGAGGTTTTGAACAATGAATATCTTTCCAAGAACAATAAAGCATTGCTCCAATCCTAATAAATCAACAAAACAAAAAAATCTCTTGAAAAACTACTGTATATTGCAATTTCTTTTTTTTTCCTGGTGCTTATTCAGCTCTCCCTTTCTCAGTTCCTATTATTTTAACCATGACAAGCAGTGACAAACTACATTTTTCCACTGTTACAGATGCTCCCTCTAGTGACAGGAATGGTGGTTCATCCTGTGTGTATCTCAGTACATCAAAACTAATAGTTCCGTTGTTTTGGCAGTGAGTTTATTTAGAAATAACATTACTCTTTGCTGCCGATCTGATATGATATCTTGGGCATCTTTGCGCTCATTATATGGCTTATACGCAAATCAGAAAAACCACAGCAGAAGCAATTAGTAATTGCTATCCTACATAAACTCCCAAAGGGATTACAAGATATCAACAATTAAATCTTGTAATATATGTATGAGGAAGTGCTCAAAAAAGGGAGATTATTAAGTAAAGACTGGAATAAATACTTTTCTTCTTATTCATCCACGCATTCCAGACACATGCAAGTGTGCCAGCTACTACCTATTTCTAATTTTAGTAACTAAAATAATTCTTATTTGGTCAGTAAAAAAGAAATTGTATTGAAGATGCTGCTTTGGCACAGCACCACTTACTAGACCAAGAGTCAAATAGCTACATGAAAGTGTGGTTCTAGGTTCTTGAAGATTCAAGTCTGTATAACCAATTTATCTCCAACTTCAAGAACAGGTAGTCATGAAACTTTATGGTTGTGGGATTTAAGAAAATCTTGTGCTTCTCCTGTTCCTTTATTTCACGGGGAAAAAAATACGAAAAAAGTAAAGCTCTCAGTTGGTTGAAGACTAACTGGGAGGTATTGCTGGGTAAGGCTTGAGGTATGTCAGTTTTAAATACACTCAGAATACTGATATTGAGCTGCTTCTCACACTTGAGCAATTAGGAGGCAAGAAATATGAAAGCGGTGTCTTCGCATTCAGAAAGGACTGTAAAATCACAGAACTCAGGTTTGAAGGGATGTCTGGACATCACCTGGTCCTACCCACCTGCTCAAGCAGAGAACAAGAGCACTAAAAAGCCAGCACGAACCTTATGGAGAAATACACCACACACTGTCCTCTCTAAAAGCAATCATTATAAGGTAACTCTTGCAACAGAAATACTGAGATACATATGATTTCATATAACAACATAAAATGTTTTGTGCTTGAAAAGTTAAACAGCTTCTTAAGCTTCGTATGCACATTTAAGTAATTTCTTTTTCTTACATATCATTTCTTACATATCATCCTCCCAAGCTGAAAAGATCTTCTGTATCAATTCTATGCAGTTGCATTTAACGTCCATGTTATTTCATTTCTCTCTTCGAGGCTTTGCAGCACAGCAGTCTGTAACATTTTGTTCCTTTTTATTGCACACAGATAGCAGATGCAGCATCTGTGAACAGTGAGGTGCCTGGCTCAAAAACACAAGTCTGGAAAAGTTGAGGGAGAAGGAAGGAGGTGCCTTCCTTGTCAGACACACAGCCTGCTGGTAGCTCACCCATTCATTTTTTCAGTGGATCAGCCAGGCTTCCAGCCTCCTCCTGTGTATAAAGTATGGAGCATGCATCTGTTTCAGCAGAGCCACACCTTCTGTTTGTTCTCTTTCTGTTTATTTACATTATGTTTAGAAAATGTAAATGTTTGTAAACATTAATGCGTATTTTGTAAAACTGTATTTTTTAAACACATTTATAAACACCGCCGTACATCACGGACTGCGCTTCACCGTAGCGGCTGCCGCGAGAAGTGGGAAGTGAGCCCCAGCTGCCCCCCGGCAGCCGCGGCCTCACAAGAGTCAACGGCTCCCGGAGGGGCGGGGCCTGGCCTCCAGTTATTTCTCCTGCGGGTGTCCGCCGCTCGCCTGGTCCGGCTGCCTCGCAAGGCTTCTTGGGAGTTGAAGTTCTCCGTTCTTCCTTCCCCAAGGCCGAACCGCAACTCGAGGACTACGTTTCCCATAGTAGCCTCGCGGGCTTCTTGAGTTCCCGGAAGGCGGCTCTGCCCTCCGGTATCAAGGCGGCTAGTTCAAGTTGCCATAGCGGCGAGGTGAGGAGGCTGGGAAGCGTGTGTGGGGAAGGGGCTGGCAGCTCCCCGAGGAGGTGGGGCTCAGGCGGCGGCGCGGTGAGGGCTGGGGGCTGCGCCTTGCGCTGCTAGTGGCGCGTGGGGAGGAGCTGTCCTGCGCGGCGCGGTGACGGCGGCGGGTGGCTCCTGAGGGTGGCTCCTGAGGGGCCAATGCGGGGCCTCGGGAGCAGGCGGGCGGCCCGCGGGATTGCAGCGGCGGCGGTGCGTGCGCGGGGTGAGGAGCGAAGGCGGCCGGGGTTCCTCAGGGGTTGGATCGTGTGTCGGTAAAGCTAGGTTACGTGAGTGTGTTTGGTGCGAACGGTATGAAAGAATCGTTTGCTGTGCCGCGGTGTTGAAGAGCTCAGGGGATACGGTGTCACGTGTTGATGTAGTTCTGGTGCCTGGATGCACGGTGCTGGAGTGTCTCCTTGTGGCATCGGGTGCCTGAAATTTTTAGGCACAAACAGAAGCACTACGGGTCTGGAACCGTTCTCAGTCCTTATGTGGTTCACCCTTAGGCTTCACTCACGGCTTTACGCTCAGTTACCTAGTGATGGATTAGCGTATGTGTGGATAAACAAATAGGAGCGCTTGGGAAGCCGTCAGGCTGTGTGTACTTAACTCATCTGCTTGAGGCTGCGCGTCGTGCTGCTGTGCCCTGCGGGTCTCTGCAGGAACGTCCCCGCGGAATGGGCGCACTGTGTGTTAGCAGGGACGGCACCTGGGAGACCTGGTGTGTTTCTCACTGCAAGAAACGTTACGGCCTGTCTAGGTAAACTAACTGTACTTTAGAAGATCAAAATAAAATGCAAAACTGATCACAGATGTTTCTTACTGTCAAGTAGGTTATATGGTTGTGGGCTGCAATCAGAGAAGGTTTTTGAAAGAAGTGATGATACTCTTTTCTGGTTTAAATTAATACAGCAAATGTCTACACGGAATATTTGTACAGATCTCTACTCTGTATGATTTTGGTGTGGTTTATATATTTTTTTTTAAACCTAAAATTAAAATTTTTAGGTTTAAAAAAAAAAAAAACCCACACCAAAATTACTTCTGTAATTCCTTTAAAAATGAGGATGTTGCTTTATATGAAACAATCCTTCTGCAGCTTAAAAGTGCCTGCAGTTTATCTATGGTTACTTATACTAAGGAGGAGTGCTACGTAACTGTAAATGGGAACTTTTCTTGAAGTCTGTGTAGTGTTTCCTTTTAGGTTTCTGTCACTTCCCTTTCTTCAGTACTTTAGTCACTTTGTATCCTAACGTGCTAATTCTGGTCAGCTGAAAACAGCACCATCGGTTGTATTACTGTAAATCTTCTTTTCCCTTTTGTTTTCTTCAGTGGTATAACTGTTCTGATTTTGGCTCTTAGGATTGAGGCACTTCTCAGAATTATAGTTTCAGTACATCAGTCAGTTATTCCTTTTCATTGTATTTTATCAGCACCTTTCTTCTGCCATGAGTTCCCATATTCATCTAACTAGAGGTGCGTGTAGAACTGTGTGCAGAGACCTAGTTCCTTTGAATTTGGGAAAACTTAAAGATTTTGTTCCTGTCAGCTGAGATTCAATAACCAACCTTTCACTAATGTGAAACTTATGATGTTGTAAAATATGTTATTTTGGGATTGTTTGGTTTAGAAAGAAATGTGACATCATGGAAGACAGAGTTAAGCCTAATCTTTCTCTTGGAGCTGTTGAGCTCGCAGACAAGCTGTATGACTTGCATGAAGTAAGGTTAGTTTTCTTGAACTCTGAATATACTTCTTGTGCAATATTCTACATACAGAGCAAGTGTAACATGCTTTTCTGCATATTTAAGGAGCAAAATAATTTGTTTCCTGTGAACTGTACTTCTGAAGAATCTAATTTTGTTGAAACAACATTTGGTATGACTTTGTAGTTGAGATAAAATGTTGCAGGTACTGATATCAGCCATTTGCTATGATTATTAAAAATGAATGTGCTTCAAATGTAAGAATGATAGGTGAAAATATAGTGGTACAAAGGCCTTTGGACAAATAGAGAGTAAATTCCCTTGGATTAATGACTCAGGGCTGGGTTTCTGATCTCTCATAGGGCTGGTCTTGTGCTTTATTCTTAGTATGGCCATTAATAGCATCTCTCTATTGCTTGGGGTTTTAAAAATCTTTTCACCAAGTGATTGAAGCTGAAAATGTTTGTTGATTTGAGGAAAATGGTTGTTGAATCCACTGTTTACTGCGTTTTGAGTGATTGTGTGTAGTGGGCAAAAACAAAAAGCAAAAAAAAAAAAAAAAAAGCCCAGAAAGTGCAATTAGAGAGGAATTAAAAACTGCTCCAAAACAAGTGATAAGACTTTTTTTTTTTTTTTTTTTTTTTTGAGAAAAGTTTCTTTTTATGATTATCAATGATGCAGATAGTTTGTGTGCTAGAATACAGATTGTGCTGATGTCTGTGTGAGTTTCCAGTAAAGATTGATGGGGAAAATACTGCTTAATATAGTGATTAGCAAGACCTTATGGTAAAAATTAAAATTATTCCACATCGTTATTACTATCTATGCTTTATTTCTTTTCTTATTCTCTCTTTTTAAATATCCAGTATTCCCTTTTTTCCCCAGTACTCAGTATTCATGCTTGTTTAGCCTCATTTAGACTTCATTTCATCTGACTAGAGTGAGACATACTGGAATAGTGATTGCTGATACTGGCAGCTGGAGTGTGCTTTAGTGAGATAAGGGGAGCAAAGATGAGATAAATTGCTCACTTCAGAAAACAGCTGTGGGAAATATTGGTGTACTTAAGCAGGAACTGATTATATTGATTTATTCTCCTTTCATATTTGAAAAGTTTCTATCCAAGTCTAGCACACACATTTATGTCTTTTTAATAAGACTCTGGAAAAACATCAATTGGCATGTGTATAATATAGAGTGTAAGAATTAAATCTCATCCATGGTTTCTTTGGGAAACTTCTGTTTTAGTGGCTAGAAGAATAATATCTTTACTTTTCTTGTATCTGCTACAGGACCAAAAGGAATTCAAAAATTTGTCACTTTTTTCCTTTTCCCCCAAAATACTTAGATTCAGACTATTTCTCCACAAAGATAGTTGACATAAATCTCAATGGTAGTAACTCCATAAACTCTAGGCAGACTGATGCATTGTGTGATAATTTGAGGGGAAAAAAAGCTCTATCTTAACCTAGTTTTACAGCGTTTCAATTTTAATGTTACTACTTGATTTTACTACAGCCGTCATTACTGATCCCAGCTTCTAACAATTTCTTCCAATTTTCTCTCCATTACTCTGCCTTTCTTAATCCCCATTCTTTCCTCACAAGCCTTGTATTTTCTACCTCAAATTATTTTTGACTTTGATTCAAGCAGATTTCTTTAACCTCAGTACAGCAATAGGGTTATGTTGAATGCAGGGTGGGTAAAAGTAGTAGTATTTCACTGTTTTTGAAAGTAGCTTTTTTTCCCCCCATCTTTTTCTTTCTAGAACATTACATTGTCAGTGCATATTGAACTTTGATTAATGTCTGCCAAATATTTTTTATTTTTCTCTTATTCTTCTGCCAGCGTCTATAAGCTTCTGCAAATGCAATAAACATTCCATTCTATTATCAGGTCATTTAAAGAAAATATGTAGTAGATTTACTGTAGGTTCTCACTTTATTTCTCTGTGTGGCACAACTTCTCTTTGAGTTCTGATGTTCAACTTATTTTTTTTTTTTTTTAAAGCTTAATTTGGTTCATGTTTCTTTAGCTTAATTTTGTATATGTATTGAGTGTTTAATGCTTTGTTTGTTCAAAAGTAACCTCTACTGCCTTTTTCTTCTTTAACAAACTGTAGTTACCCATTATTGGCTAAATTGATTTGATATCAACTCACACATTGCTTTTCTAGTAAAATAGTTTTTCTCAAAAAAAGAAACTTAAAATAGCCTATTTTATTTTTTTTCCACATATTAAAATTAAGCCGATTAGTGTGTCATTTTTGGCCCTGATTTTCTTTCCTGTCTATTCTTTTAAAGACTCTGCATTTGCCTTCTATCATAATGTCTCGAATTCTTCTTGAGTCATTAAAGACACCGCTTCTTAATCTTACTTCACACAATCAGTGGTATTAGTTGAGCAAAGTCAACCTAAATATAGCTTAGAAATGAGGGTGAGGCAAAGGGAGAATGATTCTGATAGGGTAGTTTGGATGGAAAAGATTGCAGTGCCTAGTTGTCTGGTCATATGAGGGCTTCATCAGTTGTTTTGCTCTCCTGATGTATATTTTACAGAGATGATTTGTTTTCAGCTATGATCTTTGCTTGTGTACTGAACACCTACTAGTGTAGAGAATAGGTCTGTTGGTTTAATTCTGTCCAAAAGAGGTCTCCTTGCATGTTGGCCTCTACTTCATGATGTGAACAAGCATAATAACTGAGGAACAGTTGATAGATGCGCCTCTAAGATACATCCTGCTAATGTAGTGGTTTGAATAGTCTATGAAGTTGCTTTGGAAATGTTGTATGGCTTGGATTTGTTCAGTTACAATAACGATTTAATGTTCGTTTTCTGATCTTTCAACCTAGGTTTCAAGATACTGATGGCAGATTCATCCAGTGATTCAGACAACTTTTTTAGGGCTCCAATAGGAAGATGGCCACCTTTGAGGAAGGCATCTCACAACAGAGCTTGGAACTATAGTGCTGAAGAAGTTACAGAGAAGATTCATACGTTAGCAAGCACTTTACAGGTTGCTTACGAGATACTGTTTTAAAGTATACAAACAGCTTGTGAAGAAAAGTCAAATTTTCACTTCTGAAGTTGTGCAGTGTATTGTAGTGATAGAAGACATTGCTTTCTGTGTAAGCCAAAATATTTTATGTAACTGATTGTATTGCCTCAGGGGTGAAATTAGGTGGCTTGATGCTATATGGAGTAACAACTGTATGAAAGCGTAGTAGAATATTGTTAGAAACAACAATGTGTTTAGTAAAACTATTAATAAAATTAATGAACTGAATAATGCCAAAAATCTTTTCACATCATTACAAGTTATGTTGAATTTTATAGTGGAAACTTCCAGCCTCATCTTTTACAGTACACCTGTACAGTACGCCTTTTCTAGTTCTAAATAAAAAAATAGATAGGCAGTCCAATCTATTTCTCCCAATAGAGGAATAGTAACTCCAATAATTCGTAGATGTGGAACAGCACAGTGAGAAGCAGTACTTGTAAACTTAGAATGGATCTGTATCTGAGCAAGGAAAAGTTTTCGTCTAATTCCTGCTTCTTCAGTGGAGGCAGGAGAGCAGGTGTATGAATCTATTTGCATGTAGGAGGAGATGTTTAACTGTCTTGATGTCATTTATCACTTGAAGCTATTCATATTCATCAGTATGGAAGAAATAACCTTGTGGTGAGAATCCCCGTTCTAAGCTAACAGTTCTAAGAACTTGGAAGAAGCAGACTTGTGCATTATTGCTTGTGCTTAATTATTGTTTGACCTACAATAAATAAATATGTATATACATATATAAGTATTTAATATGTGAGGAGAGAAAATCTGTAATGAATTTCAATACTGAGTTTAAACTTCAGAACTTCTTGGCTGAAAAGTGATCATCAAGGTAGAAGGTTTAGTTAATAAGAATATGACTGTTTTTTTTAAACACTGTCTTTGGAGGTTTTTGTTCCAATCTAACCTCCTTCTGGCTGCTCTTCTGAGAATCTGATTTTAAGCTAATGGTTTCTCGCAGACCTACCACCCGATCCTCCCATTTTTCACTTGGTTACAGTATTTGTTGTGTAGAAAAATTGTGCTGAAGTGAAGGGTAGGACTGCAGCAGTCCAGCTGAAGACATCTTAAGCTGCCATGAAACTGTTATATAAACTAAATGATGGGATTCTGGTCAAGTCACCCCACAGTAAAGAATGCAGTATGTATGTCTTGACACAGTCATCTTCAAGTTGGCATTCCTTCCCATTATTGTATAATTTTATGTAAGCTGTGATAAATGCTGTCCATGCCATAGATAAATGATAAATAAATTGAGGGCTGCGTAATCTTGCCATAAACTTCAAGAAAGTATATTTATATTGACAGTTTTGCCTTTTAAATAGGGTGCTGATTTCCTGCCATAAAGAAAATATTATCTAAGAGCCTTAGTAGCAATTTCTTTAATTTCTTCATGGAAGTTTTAAAGTGTGGCTTTATCTGCTGTATCTCTACTTTCCCTTGTCTGCTTGGTGAACTTCCTTACTTTAGATAAATATGCTGATCTTCAGGAATTTATTTATCTATTTTGCCAGCAAAATACATGTAAGTTACTTTAAGATCTCTGTATAAAAATATTTTTTCTGGTGAGTGGCTGAAAATTTACGCTGTTTTAGTCTGAATTAAGTCCTTACTGGTGTGTTGTTTTAAAAAACAAACAAACAACCCACCACATCGTATTTTATTCATTTAGCTCCTCTGTACTTCTTCAGGTTCTGGCTTCTTGAATAGGGTTTTGGAATTTTTGAATGCTTAGGCCCTTTAAAAACAACAACAACAAAAAATGAAACAATTTGTTTCATTAATTTATTCATAAGTCAGGAATAGTAAAGACAACAGTGATGTTAGATTTTTGGAGATTTCTATTTGATTTTTCTTCCTCAAACATTTTTCTTTTTTTTAAGGATACCAACAGAAACCTGAGACATGTTGACCATTTGCTGGGGCAATACAGAGAATACAACAAGGAACAAACAGAAGCAATAGCAACTGTGAGCAACTTTCAGTTTATCTTTTCTTAAATCTTTTCTTTTTCTAGCAGCATTCACAGTCGAAAACTTGGTGGCAATGGGTAGAATGTATCAAGAGTTAAGTAGATGATGTTAACTTTTCATAGTTACTTGAGCAGCCTAAGCCAAACTTTAGTTTTCTGTTATACAATGAAACTCTAACCGTTTTTGAAACATTATTACTTTTCTGGTTTATAGATTCCAAGTAGATGTACTATGATAGTCTGGGAAGCACAATGTGCAAATAGAACACGTGTCTTTTGTTTCAGTAGTTTTTTCTATGGTTCTGCAATAGCTTCTGAACCTACCAACCAGTTTTCTCTAAATTTCAGGTGAACAGAAGTTCTCTTACACACCAGGGTTCTGTGAGTTTGAAAGCAGATGTCTGAACAGAGATTGTAAAATAAATTAATGCCTGTAGAACAAGAGCGGTTTATAACTTTGTTTCAAACAAATTGCAACTGGTGCTTCCTTGAAACTTAGAATACAAGGCAGTATTATTTCATACATGGAGGCGGAGGGAATTGGAGAATAAATCCTAAATCTATAGGAAAGAAAGAAAGAAGGCCTTTCTAGCAGTTTGTTTCTTGGTCAGCAGAGATGAGACTTTCATGGACTTTCTTATTTGAACTCTGCATCTTTGTAATCTTTTTGTAGTCGCTGAATTTCTGGTGGTGACTGAACCCATTTAACATGGTTTTTAATAAATGCTGATTCTAAATGTAGTTCATTATTCTGAAATGTTTTCTGTTAGCAGACATCAAGGTGAAACATTACTCAAACATTTTTAGTTTTATAACTCATTCTTTTCTGTTATGTTAGGTGGCTTTTGATTATGACTCAAATTGAAGAGAAATCTAGGGACTAACCATCTACCTATGTTTGAAGTAGTAAAGAAAATACCATCTGATTAGTGCTTAAAAAAAAAAAAAAGCTTCCCATTTTCTGCTCCCTTTTTGAAACAGAGTTTTTTGCTGTAGTACGTATGTGGAAATGTAGCTGGGATCAGGAAGTATTGCATCTCTTTCTTCTACTATAGCTGTTTAAGAAAAAACCTTAGTGAATTTCTCATTTAAATGGTGATGAGATAGATACGGGAGTATCAACGAATGGAGTTTTTATTAGTGATTATAAAGGCTATTTTGTTCAAACACATCCCTTTTAGTATCTCTTTTCAACTAGCCTCTCTTTATTCTGTTAATAACTTTTTTTAAAGTAACACAAGCACCTTGAAATGTGTTTATATATGTATATAACAACTAATTTTTTTAACCAGAGTGTTAATTCTCGACAGTATCAGTATTTCTTTATTTTTACTTTTTTGTATCTCATTTCATATTGAGGGAATGAAAATTAGTGCTGACAGGGTAAAGCATGCAAATTAAGCACTTGTAGCTTGATTCAGAGTTTATGTTCCCTTGTTAGAGATCCAAGATTAGTCAGTTTCAGGGTCAGGTTAGATTTGAAGACTGAGTTGTTGCTGTTCTTGTTTTGATTGTCTGGCGTCTTCGTACGATGTTTTGTTTTTGTTTTTTTAATTACTGAGTGCAGAGGTGATCTTTTTTTTTTTTTTTAATGTACTTGCATTGTCTTAATTTTTTCTTCAAGTAACTTCTCTTTTTAAGGAAACTTTAGGAGATCCTATCTCTGGCTTCAGCTTTTCTTAGTGATTGAGTTCTGATAAAATAATATAATGAAAACACTTTAGAAAGAACCTAAGCAAACTTGAAGATCAGTGAAGATTTAAAATAGTGTTTTTAGCTTTAGAAAAAAAGCGCCACTCAGAAGGAGATCCAACTCTCTTAATTACTGCAGATTAAAGTAGTAATTTAAGTACTTTTCATATATTTCTCTTAGGGGAGGAGAGATAATCCTCTAGAAATACAGGTTTTTTTGGATTTTCAAATAAAGGTGTAATAAAAGTGAGAGGCTTAAAACCAGAGTTGGCTTATAGTAGCCATACTTGTTTTTTTTCTTTTCAGTAATCCTGTACAATACATCTGTATTTTAAGAAACTTAATATCTGAAACTGCCAATGTTGAAAGCTTGTTTTACTACAACTAGGAGAATATTATGTGTACGAGAGATAACCAAGAAAAATGCTAGTAATTCATGGTGAAACTTGGCTTAAAAAGAGCATTTATTATCTTAATGACTGAAGATTACTTGCATGCTATTGTATATGTCTTTGTTTATATTTCAGTAAACTGATTTCTTTGCAGTTAAAAGAAACTTTGGAACAGTCTATAGGTCAGTTAAAGAGTCAACGACTAACCCGAAATTCTGGAATGAGAAGTGCTTCTCTCTCAAGTTTATACCCTAGTGATTTGGATGGGGAAACTGTGTCAGGTAAAATACTTATGGCGCTTAAATGTACTTAAATATTATTATTGTATGAAAAGAGGAAATTAGCAATAGAACTGTATAAAGATACTGACATGAAGAGCGATCATTGATTTCTTCAAAAAAATTCAGTGTAGAAATTTGGGTGACCTGTATTAAGTTTAGCAGTTGTTTATTTAGTAAATGTCTATTTTTTTTTTTCTGGTATCTCAAGAAATCTAAATCAACTGTTGATAGTTTCCATGGAGAAAATTGCCTTATTTGCTGCATGAGTTGTATGTATATGTATGTTAAAGTTAGTCCAAAATGTTGTAGCTTTTGAAGATTACTTCGCAGCAAAAGAAAATGTGAATTTTAAATAGAAGACTATGGACATGTACATATTATACACAGTTATACTCTGTGGAAAAGGAAAAGATAAAATGATGAACTTTTCCATAGGTTATACTATTGCATGTCTCTTGGAAAAATTATTATTTTTAGGAAAATATGTATTTAGGAGGAATATTCATTTCAGGAACAGCATTAAATGCATTTTAGGAGAAACATTAAATTTTTTTTTTTTTTTCTAATGTAAGTTCTAAAGGTTCTAGTTTTAGTTTGAAGCTTTATTATATCCAGACAGAAGAGACGCCACTGCTCAGACAAATAAAATTTGAGGAAATAATTTACCTACCCCCTTACCCTTCCTGTGCATGTGTGTATATGTATAAATATGTCTAACAAAAATATTTCAACTGTAGAAGAATCCTGGGGAGAGCTAAACAAGTATGCCTTTTGAATTTTACATAACTTCAGTAATCTACCTGTAATGTGATCCATACTCGCAAGATGAAGCACAAGTTTTTCCCAAAGCAAAATTAAACATTTTCTGTTTGAAAAAAAAAAAAGTCTTTTCTTTTTTTTTCTCATCTTTTATCACTTAAAGGGATCCACCACTTCGTGCCTACTTCTCCTCTCAGGGATTATGGAGACTCACAGGGCAATAGACATCGAAGGTCTAGATCTGCAAGTGTTCGATTTGTCAACAAGACTGATAATTTGAATCAGGTACTAATGAGAGTTCTTTTCCCGAGCAGACTGTATGCAGCTATCAAGGTTTTCGATTTTACATCAAATAAAGTTATTTTGATGGTGAAGCTAAGGAGGCTAAGTTTCAGCAATGAAATATTCTGTCAGTGTTCTGTGCAATTTTTAATTAGACGGTAATCTTGTAACAGTCAATGTAATAAGATTCATAGATTTAAAAGAAAGTGAATAGTGTGATGTCAAAAGTAACGAAAATTTCTGTAGATTCTAGTTTCTGAAAACATCACAGTATTTTGCTTGGTCACTTGCAGTTTTATATGCTGTCTTTCTTTAGCAGTACATATAGCTGGGCAGAACTTTTTCTCATTTGTACTAGCATGTATGAACAGGAAATTTTGTCCTGACTTTAACCATTCAGATCTTTCCATTTGCCTTGCATTAAGTTTAAAAGATGATGCAATGTCGGGTAATTAAAATGAAAGCATAGAAAAAAACATGGTTGGGAGCTTTGTTTAGCAAATAATGGACTGAAAATCAAATGTAAATGAGAAAGTGTTGTGAAAGGTTATAGAAACAGAAGCACAATGGCTTCATCTAGGCTGATCTGCAGTTCATATAAAGTTGTTTCAGACATTATTTTTATCTGCTGCTTTCTATTTAATATTTTCTTTTTAAAAGTTTGTATAGGTGTACTTTTGAAATATTATAGATTAAAGCCTTCTTAAGCCTTGGCTTACTTTATGTACTTTAATTTACAGCTGCATTCTTTCCACCAGTCTCTTCGCGATATTAGTAGCGAACAAGTTCGTCTTGGAGATGACATCAGTCGGGAGCTTTCAAGAAGAGATAGGTATAGACCATATAACTTGCATGTGAAGAACAATGGAGAAAATAGTTTATATGCTTCTAAATAATAAATTACTCATCTGTACGCTGTACTAGTACATCTGTACAACTAGTACTATGAATGGCTTGTTACATATCCTCTTGTGCAGTATTTCTAAGTGTAAATAGCAAGTACAAGTTCTGATTTGCATAAAATATGTAGCTTCTTTCCCTTTTTTTATATGTAGACAGACAGAAAAGGGTTTGGGAGTTTCTGTTAATAAAACATTCCTTTTATGTTCTTGATACTGGAGTTTCATGAGGACAAGTTCTCATTCAGGCGATAATGATTTGGTTATTTCAGTACATGCTGTCTCAACATATGATGCTTTTTCTAATAACAATAACAGGAATTAGTACTCTTCTCAGTAAGAACTAGTCCTGTTCAAAAGGATTGTGTTGACGTGTTCATAATTTGTACTTGTTGACCTGATGTCTGGTATTTCAAACTAGATAGAATCATTATTAGGTGCTCTGTTATCTTCACTAGAGAAATGGAAATTCTTTCTATTACAAATTTTCCACTTGAGGCTGGTCTCCAATTATGCTAGGAATTTAGAAGCTGTAGAATGAATTCAAGTAGCCTAAAAATCCACAAGAGTATTGCTGCTTAAAATTAACCCAGTTGATCTTTAGCTTTTGCACTGCAGAGTATTAAGGCTTACCTGTATTTTTCTGTGAAGGGCTGATGCAGAAATGAGAGAGGCTCTAGCGGCGTTGTCTGAAAAGCTCTCGGAGTCCCAAAAACAAGAAACGGTGAGTGTGCCTACCAAGAAAAGATCATGTATATTTAATATTCTAAGCAAGATATGGGCTACTGTTTGCTCTGGTACTCAGCAACGTGTATTAGTATGTATATCTGAACAGGATCCTTTCCAGGCCAGACAAGATTGTTGTAATATTATCTTTCCTTAATAAAATCAGCGGAACAAGTGCTTTTATCTTGGCTATTTGTGTAAAGTCCAAGTGAATGTTTTACAGGTGGGTGTGCAGTGAATTTGTTTAAAAATTTGGTTTTGGCATAAGCTGCTGTTTGAACATTCTTTTGAACATTTCTATAAGTGCAATAGATACCTTTTGAGAGATAGAAATTAGATTTTTCCATGTTAAAGAAGCTTCTATTACAACCATGAAATCTGAGGTTTCCTTTTCCTCTTCCTTCCCCTCTCCCTATCCTTTTCAATCCTTATGATCTGTGCAGTCTTCTGAAATGAATGAGTCTCTTGAGAGTATGATCTTGGCATTGTGGCAAATGTAGCAAAGGAGACAGTGCAGCTGTGATTCTCTTGCCTCTTGTATCTGCTGGAAGGAGACTAATTCTAATCTTTTGAGTTGGAAGTCAAATCAGAGTATTGCTGCAGGCACGAGAGAAGATGAGAACACCACTAGTTAGGAAAAGGTAGTTCCAGACTCAGACTTGAGTCTATGTTTTTTTGTGCATGCTAATTCGATATCAGAAGCAATACTGACTTTTCGGAGCAAGCGTTGTGTTGAGTGTACTTACTCTAGATGGCTGGTCTTGCTCTAAAATTGCATGAGTTAGTAGTAAATGATCTGGCAAGGTCTTTAGTTATGCATTTGTCATTGATACCAGTATTGTAGTCAAGAGCAACTTCTTGGCATCAACAGGCTTAATGATTGTACTTGTGCAGATGAAATAGGGCAGAGATTCAAGAGACTATAATCTATCAATACCACTTAATATGATGGAATTAATCAGCAGAGGAAGACTTGCCTCTTCAGCCTTCTTAGAGGAATTTAGCAGGGTGTCCTTGTTAGAATGTGAGCTCTGTTTATCTGGTAGGGAATTCTTAGATGCTCGCAAGACTGTTTTTGCTGTGGTCTGCTTCTCAGTATACTATTTTTCCCCTCTCTAATGTCACAGGAAATTAACAAGCTCTAAAGTTTTAAGCAGGACTATTCACAAGACAATGGCTGCTGCAGCTGACCAGGGTACAGCTGTTCTGTGCCTTTGAATGAGAGGAACTAACCTTCCTCTTCAATCTTCTGGAATTCTGGCAGCCACTGTCTTTTCATTTTTGAAAGAAATAAATTGTATTTTGTTTGTGACCTACTATAGCAAGTTTTCAAAACTAGAAATCGGGTGTCACAGATTTTATTTGAATGAAGCAAAAAGTGAGAGATGTACAGTATAACAAGGACGCTCTCCTTAGTTTTTTTTACTTATAAGGGGAATAGAAAAAGAAGAGTAATTCTTTTCAAGGATGATAGTTTCTCTCCCAAATAAAGCTTTGGAAGCTGAAACGTTTAATGATGCACTTCTAATGAAAACAATAATGCTGCAGTTGGCTGCAGAGACATCATTTTCTAGGACAGGCATTGTCACCCTGGTTTTAAATGGGACGTTCTTTACTTTGTGCTTGATAGGCAATGGTAGGGGGGACTTCTTAGTAGTCAAATCCACTTTTAGAGATGTTTGCTGCTAAATGAAAGCCTAACACAGAAGCGGAGCACTTAACACAGAGGCGGAGCACTTAGCATCATGAGTATTGTTCAGTTAGTCTCTAGTGCTGAAAAGGTATCTTTAAATCATGTTCTTATATAGGGCAAATATGATAATTTAGTTTAGCATTTCATGTTATTATGTAGAAGCTCCATGTTCCTTGTACTGTTCTTCAGTGAATCACTTGTCTACTTTAAGGCTTGTGATCTAGAAGACAAGATACATACTGTTATGGTAGGAATGTTGTCTTGAATTAGGGTCATCTGGGATAAAAAAAAGATAATTGAGTTTTAGTCTCTTCTTCGTGTGCTGCTTACTGCTTGCTTGCTTATGGCTGTAATCTTTCTTCTGTTTTTATTCCTATTATTGCATGTCATGCGTTCTGTGATAAACTGAGGAAGATCAAAAAGGCTACAAAATCAGGAAACACAATTCTTATGTGTACACCAGTGTAGATTGGGTAACTGTCATTGTGGAGGAACTGCATTTTTGGTACTAATACGTACTTTGTGTGGTGAATAAACAAAAACTGTGCCAGAAGAGAGGACATTTGTTATAAATCAAGTCCCATGCATGGCTTTTAATATGTGAAGTGCTCAAATAGGCAATGAATGAAGTAAAAGACTTCTAGACAGCGTGGGTTGATGATTGGACTATAGTGAAAAATGACGATTTGTAACTGAGAATTTGCTCTATCAAATAGTGTTATTGTGGCGTTTCTATTTCTTGTCATTTCCATGGCAGTAAATAAGAGGCATTACTTTTAGAGCAACCTATCTAGTTGGAATAGCTTGTGATAGTGCAAATTTTATATTTATGGAATAACATCATGTGCAGAAAAAAGCTCCAGTATATGGAGGAAATGAGTTGGACAAATATCCAAAAGTAGTGTATGCAAATTATCTTAAAAAAAAAAAAAAACAAAAACACAAGCAAGCAAAATATAGGAAATGCAGGAGCATACTTGAAGTGAGAAGCTCCCAGTTTGCTTAAGGCAGAAAGTAAAAAATAAAATATTTTGAAACAACCTCATGCAGATCAGCTGAGATACTTAACTGTCTGAAGTGATTGTAAAGTTGCTGCTGAAGTTTCTTCTTTGCCCTTACCTATTTATCAATCAATTTCTGGAAAAATAATCACTCTATTTTCTCAATTTTCAATATTTCCTCATTTGAATATTCCTAGAACAGTTTTTTAAGTTGTAACGGTTTAAGCTGTAACTGACACATTCCTTTTGTAAAGATATAAGGACTGTATTATTTTTTTATATTACTCATGAAGATCAGAGCATAAGCATGTCATTAATTGTTACTTTTGCTACATAACGGTGTTCTTAAAATTTTCTAGCCATATACATGCATATGCTAGCAGAAGCATGCTTAGTGAGAATTTGTTCACTCCATATATATGAAACTTGTAGTTGAATGGTGTTTTAAATCTTTTTTTATTTGAATATCATTTGGTAATTGAACTGCTTTCTAGTGACTCTTAAAAACCGTTAGTTTTGAAGTAGGGAGGAAACATAATTATTTTCCTAACTAATCTTCAGCTTAAATGATATAAATTTAATTTGCTGCCCACAAGAGGGTGCTGTCTGCTAGCAGCTTGAAAAGCAAAAATAAGGATTGCCGCTTGATGTTGAATTACAGATTGCTTTAACAAATGACAGACTTTTATTTATATTCCTCTGTATATGAATTGATAAAATATTGGGAAAAAATTCTTAAAGTTATGTAAATATTTTGTGCTATCACACAATTATTCTTCTGTACTTGTTTCTTGTTTACCGCTTGTCACTCATGGGTTTCTGAAAATGAAGCAATTTTTTTGGTTTGCTTTACATAAAGGGGATTGAAGGAATTGACTCTCTAGAGATTAGGCCTGTGGCAGCTGAGAAGCTAAAATTTATGTATTGTGGCTACCAAGCTTTGGTACTGACTTATTTAATGCTTTATTAGAACTACCACTTTGCAAAAAAGTAATGTAAATGAACGAGGAGGGTATTTCTAGCAAGACAGCAATCTTGAGTACTCAGTGCTGTAACTCTGGTTATTTGCTATACTGTTCAAAATCTTGCTTGATAAAATAAGTTATTTCATTTTCCTTTCTTTCTGCCCCATACTTTCTTTACTATTTTCTCTATTGTTATCTCAGTATGTGGTTGAAATGCACCCTAATTTCCTGCAAGTTTTTTTTTCCTTTTGAAGGTATCAACACGTGTAGAGAGAAGACTTCAGGAGATAGAACAAGAAATGCGTGCTGAAAGACAGCTTATAGAAAGGCGCCAGGACCAACTGGGACAGATGTCTGTTCAATTACAAGAGGTATACAAATGAAAACTTCTCCATAGTCAAGATCAAATGAAAACTCCTGATACTCAGGATCAAATTGAGATCTTGCTGTCTTTATGACCCTGTGTCTGTCAAACTGGCAATCAAATACGCTGCATTCGCTTTTCAGTGCTTTTCAAACAGTTTAGGTCAGAGCAAATATCTGATGAAGTATAAAACATTGTTTAATAGACAAATAAAAATGTTAATACTTTTCTGTAATTTTAATTTGTAATATAATGTCCTTTTGTGCTTACTTTAAGAAATGTAAGACAAGTATGCCTCTGTTTCTGCTTATAGTGCTATTTGGAAAATGTGTGAATCTCAACGTACTGTAATTATTTAATGTTTATAGAATCATTGACTGTCTTAGGTTGGAAGAGACCTTTAAGATCAGGTTGTTCCAATCCTTAAGATATTATTTACAATGTCATCTCTAATATAAAGGTGTAGTTGAAAAGAAATCCATAATTCTGATGTTTTTATTTTTAATGATGGTATGTGTGCTTTTTTGGAAAGCAGTTTTATGCTGTGCCATGATATTGAGGAGCCTTAAGGTAGACCTGTGCTTTACATTTCATATGAGACTAGAGACTCTTCAAAGAGGTCATATTTAAGAAGATAACATACTTTTTAAAATATGAATTAAAAATGCTAATAAATATGTTCTTAGTATTTCTACTACTGTTTCAAAATTAGTGCATCATTTTTTTTTTTCCCTATTGATATCTTAGTGGGTGAAATGAACTTCTATATGAACAAGTGTGCTTTATTACAGTTTTCAGGAGATGCAATATTTCATAGGGATTTTAATCTTCAATATGCCTATGTCTATTACTTGACTTTTCTTTTTTGATTGGGCCTTCAATCTGGTAGCAGCATGCGTTATGAGAGGAGTTGCTGTTACCTGATAGTGTTATCTGTTAATTGGAAAAATCTTCCTTTGTGCTCTTAATAATGTAATGACTTTTATCTATAAAGATATATTGATACTGTGATTATTTCCTTGCAAGGAAAATCTGTTTTCAAGTGAATGAATTCAAATATATTTCAAAGAGTTTCACGATTGGCAGTGTGAATCATAAACCTTTAAGCTAGATATATTTCTTTCAAATAGCTCATCTCTTGTGTTCTATGCAAAATGAATATTAAATGCAAAGTGGTTGCCCTAAGTTTCCATTCCTTTAAGCTTTCCAGCTGCATGTGAAAATATTTTAATCTTTCCTGCAAATTCTATTTTGTTATACACATTTTTTTAAATTGTTTTTCCCAAGGAGCTCTTCCTGTTTAAACAAGATTTTATGATACAAAAATTCAGTATTCAGACCCTAACATTTGTGAAGCTAAAAGGAAAGTTCAACCCCTATTAGTTTGCTTGGTAAACTTTCATTATTAAAGGTTAGCCCAACCCAAGATTCAGAGCCAGTCCTGACTGGAACAGACTCATTCCACACCCAGTATTTCATAATTGCAACTTTTCTGAGTCTCATTCTTGGTGAATGTCTTCACTTTCTCAGGAAGGGGCTTGTATCTCTGTATCTGTATCTTCCTTCTGGGTGGTGGTTTTTTTTTTTTTTTTTTTTTTTTTTCCATCATGGCTTCTGGATTTCTTTGACTGGACATACTGTTTGGGGTCCTAGTGAAAATTAGATTACTGATACTGCAATGAATGGAGGATTTTTTTTTTTTTTTTTTTTTTTTAAGTTTTTTTGACCTTTAGTGGAAAAAATAGGATGTTAAGAGAATTTTTTTTTTTTTTTTTTTTTAATGAAAGACTCTTTAATGGATTGCAGAAGAAAATGGAGGCAGTTTAGATTTGAAACAAAGGCTTCCATTACACTTCCAGTAGTAGTAGAACTCTTCCTGCTGCTTATATCAAGGCTGTTATGTTCAACCTCCAAGAAGAAAATTATGTGAATTCTGGATAGTGTTTATATTTCTTAGGAACATTTTCTTAGGTTGAGCTCTTCAGTTGACACACTGGCAAATTGGACCAGGTTGGGCCTTAATTTTGGGACTGTTCTCTTTTTAAGAACAAAATAATATGAACTCTGTACGTGTTGTAATACTCTAATACAATCCTCAGTGTAATATAAACTGAGAAGGTGTTGTATGAGAAAACTTTCTGAGGAAAAATATTTTCTACCTTATAGAATATACATTACACAGGGAATAGGAATGTAAAAATTTCTACGGAGGTAAAAAGTCTAGAAATGATGTTGTCTTGAATTGAAAACAAGGAGAGGAAAAAATGCCAGCACCAAAACAATCTAAGAATTTGAGTTCTTGAACTGGTATTTTTTCACTTTGTGTTTCTTTTGTATGGGGTGATAGAGATAAATAGATTTTTATTCGATAAACCAAATAAAATGAATAATGAAGCCTATGACTGTGAAGCATTTAAAATTTGTGAACAGTCTTACATGATTGTCGTTTCAACAATGAATCTGTAAGCTGAGTACTAGTCTTTTTGTTCATTTGTTCATTACTTGCACTGATGTAGTTGTATTTTGCTAAGGTATTTATTTTTCTACAGTATAGAAGAATTATGTTTGTCATTCACTTAAGTCCTTGAGCAAAGTTCTTAGAGAAATTTTTCAGTTTACACGGTTTCTTATGAATTCTTTTACATCCTGTATTTGAAGTAGGCAGTCTTTGCAAAACTCTGGTCTTGTGGTGACCACTGCATAGATTTAATGCTCTGAAGTCTCTTTTTATCTTTTTTTATTTCTCCAACATGCTTTACAAGTAACACTACTGGAAGGGGATAAGGTTTGGACTGAGATCTAAAATCCAATCATTCAATATGGTATGGATAATTTACAAATAAATACTATTTAAAGTATTTGTGGCAATTTGGTGAGACAGTTTTTTCATTATTTTGCTCGCTGTGCATCTCAAACTAAACCAAATCAAATTTAATTTTGGATTTGATCAGCAGTACTTTGAATTAAAAATTCTGATGAGGTTTAAATGTTATAGTGATCTGTAAGGGAAAGTGCGATGCCCGTAACTGGCCACTACTTGTCAGTATTTTACCATCTTAAGATGGACATCTTCCTAAATCTAGATTATTTAGTTACATATTTTCAGAGCTTAACTGAACGTGATGACACTTTGCTATTTCTTTTTCTCCACTTGACTTCTCTTTGTCTGTGTTTTTCATGATCATCAAACTTTATTTGTATTTCATTGTTAGCACCATGAACTGATTATTAATGAAGAATATATCTGGTTATATGTTGGCTATAAAGAAAACTTCAAATATAAAATTTTACATCTTTAAGTTTGCATTTTTTTTTTTTTTGACTCTGTGCTTGGTAATATTTCTTGAGTTGGTGTGTATTCGAGGTCTACTTAAGCAGTGCTTATAAAGAAAACCTGAAATTAGTGTGAGTCACCCATCTTCACTTCTATCTGTGATATAAACTTGTTTCAAATTAGAAACGATATGAAATGTATTCATCTTGTCAGTGCTGCTGGCATGTGTATATAGGATACTTTACCAAAATGCATTTTTGTCTAAATTAAAATTATTTTGAGATTCTTTATTGCTTTGTTCTGAATGTGAAAGCACCATCCACTTAGTAACACTCATTTGCATATATACCTCTATTTTTTCTAAAGCAAGATCAAATATTCTTAAAAATAGCCTTAAAACACCTTTTATATGTAATGGCTATCCTGGATGACTTTGCTAATTCTTATGCCTGTCTTTATGAATTTTGATGAAATGAGAATCATTTTGATGAAATTCATAGAATGGCTAAGATTGGAAGAGACCTTAATGATCATCTGGGTCCACCCCGCCTACCTTGGGCAGGGTTGCTACCCACTAGATCAGGCTGACCACTCAACCTGGCCTTGACTTCCTTCAGGGATGGGGCACCCACATCTTCTCCACAACCTATTTCGCTCTCTGAGAAGAGAATTTTCTACTAACATCTAACCTAAATCTCCTAACTAAACTTTTAGTTTAAAAACATTTCCCTTTGCCTGTGTAAAAAGTCAGTCTCCCTCCTGCTTATAAGCTCTCATCAAGTAGTGGAAGTAAGCAATGAAGTCTCCCTAGAACTTTCTGTTCTCCCAGCTGAACAAGCCCAGCTCCCACATCCTGTTCTGCAGGAGAGATTTTCCAGCCCTCTGATCATTTTCGTGGACCTCTTTTTGATCTGCTCCAACAGCTCCACATCGTTCTTGTGTTGGTGGCTGTAGTAGTACTCTGAATGGGGCTTTATGAGTATGGGCCAGTGTGGGGATAATCCCCTCCCTCTATACCTGGTCACCAACCTTTTGATACTGCCCAGGATACAGCTGGTCTTCTGGGCTACAAGTGCATGCTGCTGGCTTGTTGTCCAGCTTTTTGCCCATCAGGGCCACCAAGTTTTTCTCTACAGGGCTGTTCTCAAAAAAATAAAATTAAAAAAAAAAATCTGTGACTGCCTCCACCCAAGTGCAACAGCTTGCAATTGGCCTTGTTGAACTTCATTGGGTTCTCATGGACTCACTTTTCAAGTCTGTCCAGATCCTTCTGGATGGCATCCCTTCCTTGTACTGTCTCTCTCCCTTCTATTGTGTCTCTCTTTCTTAAGAATGAAAATGATGTTTCCCTTTTTCCATTTACCAGGGACTTTTCCTGATGACCAAGAACTTTTGAATGTGATGGAGGGTGGCTTGGCAACTGCATCAGCCAATTCCTTCAGGACCTAAGGAGCATGCATTGTTCACTTTAGGTGTACAGAATTATCTTAATAGAATGTTTTGAATGCACTGATTATATTAAAGTAATGACTATGGGTACATCTTACTGCACATACTGTGAAGTGCAGAAGAGCTGGTGGACTTTAAATAGAGGATGGGTAGAGCGATGGTCAAAAATGTTGAAAGTTATATTTTTATGTGTCCTTCTCTATGACCCTTTTAAACAAACATAATCTTTATCTGTACCCTGACACATCTGGATGTTTTAACGTATGACTGATATTTGCCCTTTTGCTGTGTGGTGTGCCACTTGTGGCTAGTAATTTCTGCTTTGATTGCAGTTTGAGTCTGACTCGCTTCTCTGTCTTGGAACATGAGCAGGTCTCATACAAATGTCTCTGAAATAGCTAGGCAAGATGTTTAAAGAAATAGTAAAATACTTGGAGTTCTAGCTCCTAATGTGGCAGGTTAGGGAAAAAAATTCATTCAGATTAAATATATATATATATATATTTAATAAAGCATGAAGCTGGTCTGCTTGCATATTTTGTCTAATATGACTTTATTTCACTGTTCAGTTTCACTTTGGAAGAGCCAATTTCAGTTTGTGGTCTGTGCGCTACTTTCAAATCTTTTTTTATTTGGAAGAAAAGTTTTTTTTTTTTTTAAAAGAAACTTTAAACGTCATATCTTGAAGATTTTCTTCTTGGAAAAGATTGCTGAGACCTCTGTAACCACAGTTCTTATACTTTTCCCCTATACTTTCTATTATACTTACAGTAGCAAGTAAATGATTTTCTCATTAATAGTGTGGATTTTAGTGCACTACGGATGAAGTACAGTGAGTGGAGCTATATAACGTATGTTGATATTCTTGTACTATCTCATGACAGTAAAGTCTATTTAAAAAAATAATAAAGACCTGTAAGAATTGCTCCCTTGGGTTAATTCAAAAGGTCATCTAGCCTGTCAGAGATGATAGCCTGTTTCTGACTGAGCAGACTGCAGAACATCTAAATGGTCCATCCTGAAACCGTGTTATAAAGATGTCTTTACACACAAATTCTCTGCTTCCTTGTGGCTCCCTCCAGGGCCTAACAAGTTTACACAACCTCCTTGCTAGCTATCTACTGGCCAGCCTACACGTTAATCCCTGTGAAAAAAAAAGATGTTGTTGGGGGAATTCTAATGACTGCAGACTTACTTCCACTCCTTGGGGCTTCAGTGCTGCTTTGCTAAGTTCCCTGGACCACGCTTGCCTGTTTTTAGGAAACTATCAGGAAGGATATTGGAACTGCTGTACTCAGCATCCACTTCCTACTTGTTATTTTTTTGACCCTTTCGTTCCCACATTTCCCTCTTTGGTGACAACAAAGAAGGAGGAAAGGAGGTTCTGAGGAGACCTTACTGTTCTCTACAGCTACCTGAAAGTAAATTGTGGAGAGATGGGGGTAGGCCTTTTCTCTCAGGTAATTAGTGGTAAGACAAGAAGTAAGTTGTACTAGAGGAGGTTCAGTTTGGATGTTATGAATAACTTATTCTCTGAGAGAGTTGTCAAGTATTGGAACAGGCTGTCCTGGGAGGTGGTAGAGTCGCTGTCCCTGGCGATGGTCAAGAAATGTTCAAGAAACGTAGTACTGAGGCACATGGCATAGTGGGGGAGGATTGGTGGTTGGAATAGATGGTCTTAGAGGTCTTTTCCAACCTTAATGATTCTGTGAAATGAAATTTAAAAAAAAAAGTTGTTGGCTCTTTATATGGTGTCTTTTACATTTTTATGTAAGTCTTCATTTCTGAAGTTAAACCTTTTGCAGAGAAATCTTCAGTGGAGGAGAACAAGATTGGCATAAGCCAGTAAGAGATAATTAGGAAGGAGGGCAATAGATAGCACAGTGCTATCTTTTACCTACATAGTTTCTGAGTCATTAGTAAGAGTTATTTGTTGTAGATGACCAAATATTTCCCATTCTTAATGACATTCTAATTGCTTAACTCATGTTCTGTCTGGTACCTACTATGTTTCACAGTTGAAGCAGTGCACGTGAGGTACGTTTTATTTTATTGTACCAGCTTATTTTTTTATAGTATTTTAACTTTGATATATTTGAAGTGTTTTTTCTTAATAATAAAATGATTATGGGTAGTTTTTTAAAAAAAACAATATACAGAAAATAAAAGCAAACATTATATTTGTAGTATCAGTGATATGAAAGACTGCCTTTTTGTTTGATGTTATTGCTGTTTAATAGTCTAAATATCATACAGTGATTCTGGTAAGTTGAAATGACATATTGATTTCTGTGGTTTTTCTGTGAATTTGGATGTACTAGTGATGCAGAAATGTACTATTGCCTTTTACAGGGGCATCATTGAAAGCTTTCCTAGGATTTCTAATTCAGTTCAGCTTTTACTGAGCTACAATTTAGTTTTCCTTAAACTGAATTTTATTATCTTTATATGCTGACTTTCCTAGCAAAATCAGCACATGAAGAAATGTATTTTTTTACAATTAATTACATTTACAATTAATTACTGCAAAAATTAAGGTTGGCGAACAGTTGTCTGTATATAGCAGTGCTTCTAATTTTGCTAGAAAAATGAAACAGAATTGCAGCTAGTACGTATCACTTAAAAGTAAAACAGCAACTACCTTACGTACAGTAATAACATTAGCTGTTATTTTTTCCCTGTGCTATAGCTTTAGGGGAGTTCTTCCCAGAGTCCTTTTGACCAAGCTGGGAAACTGTCAGATTTGAATGCAACTTTGAGTTATATTGGTAACTCATAAGGACGAATTTCAACATGTACTGAATAGTTAGAAAAATACCTTAAATACTGCAAGATTGTGATTTATCTGATTATGAATCAGTAAAATGAAACCTTAATTCTTTATGTAGCATAATATTTTCAGTGACATTGTAAGTAGCTTCCACAATCTATTTTTTTTAGTATAAACTGTTCAAGCAGGAGAGAAAGCCAAAATATACTGAAATCTATGCATTTTATGATATGAGGATATAAGGTTAAGAGAAATATAGACATCCATTTATTTCTCTACAAAGCTACTTATTAAAATAAAGCTTCTACAGTTAAATTTTTAATGAATTGCAAACTTTCCCCAGTATACAGCAAGTAGAAAGTGTTCAAAATTGCATGCAATTGCACTAATAGCAGGAATCACTTTTAGGGATATTTGTTTAAGGAAATATTCCTTTACGATGTAAAATAAATATTTAGAAAGAACAGACTAGAAAAAAAGCTTTTTGTTCTGGGCAGGCTATAGATGTATTTATATTTTGTAATGTTGGATCAAAATAAAAGCTGTGTGCTAAGATCTCCAATGAATTGATTTTGTGGCTATCCTGGAAACTGCTTGGTCATGTATTATAGCAGAGAAATGAGTTTTTGATGCGATTAGTCGAATTCATAGCAAATGCAGTGGATGAGTTTGTTATGGCATGCAATACTTAAGATTTTTTTTGTGTTACATATGTCTTGTGATGTCTGCTGTATTTCTTTACCAGTAATTAGCTACATTTTGTAAATAGTGTTGGTTTATAGAAGGACAATATTTCAAAATTAGTAGTCAAAGCAGTTTTATTTTCATAAGATGCTTTATAAAATTTATGTTGGTGGTTTTAGACACTCAGTTCGAAGTGGGACAGGAAAAATCTGTATGGTTTGTCTATTTATTTTTGAAGTAAAGCATAACGAGCTTTAGATCAGGAATGATTTAGTTAATCCTGCTCTAACACTACAATTCTAAACATCTGTCAGAATTCAAACAACTTTATAGAAGGGTTTTCCTCACTTCAATGCGTCATATGTAGTGTAATCGCATATTCTGTACTAGAGAATACATTCTCCTCATCTGATATTTTCACAGTTTATCTATAAGGGATCTCTTCAACTTCTTAGTCTTTCACTTCATAGTGTTTGGGGTCAGTCTTGGGCATCTGTGGATCTATAGATCAGAAGGATGTTAATGCTAGTTGTAATATTGTATGTGGCCCAGTATGCCTATGTATGTATGAGCATTTTTTTGTTATTTTTCATGACAATAGACATTGACTTCACCTGGAAATTTTAGACACTCGTTTAGTCAAAAAGTACTCATTTAGTTCTTAAATGTAAGGCAGATTGCTTCATTTTAATGTACTTAAAAGGAAGACTTCTAACTTTTTAAATGAAGTTCACAATATGTTTTTCAATTTTTAAGGCTTTAAAGAAGCAGGATGCTAAAGCAATAGAAACAGAAGAACTTGTGAAAAATAAAGTTGTGAAATATGAAAGTGAAAAGAAACAAGTAAGCCTTGCTTTTATTCTTCTTTGGTTTAAGTTACTGTATAATGTCATATGTTGTAGTATATTCTTTGTCCTTCAGAGAAACCAGCAGTATAAACCTTTCTTTACTCTTTAAGATAATACAGTGGAGTTTTTCTTGTTTGCTTTTTTATATCAGACACACGGAATGCAACTACACTAAACTTATGTCTTTCTTACTAAACTCTTTAGTTACAGTCTGTTTCTTTTACAAGTGCTCCATCTTGCCAGACGGACAAGCTTGTAGATTATCCTTGATTTCTTTTTTGATTTGTCTCTGAATAGTCAAATAGATGTAGTTAACTCTCAAATATTTTCAGCAGCTCTACAATGTGACTTTTCTTCATCTCAGCAATTAATGCTTGTTTCATTATTTTGCAAACTAGTGATTATTAATACTTTTCTTTCTGAACTATTTTTTTGTTTCTTTTTTACCATCTGTAGAAAACAAAATTGCTTATTTCCTTTTTTTGCAGGTTGCAAGGGCAGTGTTATTTTATTGCTAGCTTTTTCCCCCTCTTATATAAACTTTAAACTTTTTGTCAATAATTTCCATGCTAAACCTTTGCACAAGACAATCGATGTAGCATTTTATATTCTGTTATTCTTTTAATTTCATTAATACTCGTCCTGTTTACTTTGCACATTTGCCAGCCTCCTTAGCGTTCACAAAAGGGATATTATGTCTGTGATAACAATTCCCGCTTTGAAAAACTATTTTTATTTCCACATGCATCTTTTCAATCTTTGAGTTATTTTTGACAAGAGTTCTCAAAATATTTCATAGTTTTTGTTTTCTGGTTTTGGAATGGTAATCAGTTTCCTGACTACCCTGATTACACATTCTTACATTCCCTTGACACAGTATTTTAGGGAAAATTCTAATTGTATGAAAGTCCAGGCTTTTCAGTTTCTCAGTCATCTTATTTGAAAAAAAAACTGAAATACAACTTTGAACTTTGAACACAGTACAGAGAAGCACTGAATTTACCAATTACCAGTTGTACAAATTGTCATCTTTGACGTTTTTATGAATAAATTATATGGCAAAGATTCAAATGTTAAGTCATCTTATTTTCTGAGTTTGAAAGTATGCCACAAATCCTGGCATGTTTTTAAAATTTCTTTTAATAGTAGTTTTTTTCTTTTGTTTAAGTTATAGCCCTGTGAAAAGTAGCTTTTATGCTTCTTTGTTTAATTTATTTCTTTTTGTTTGTTTGTTTTGGAGTTTATATACCATCTTCATGTTATGTAGATAAGTATGCAAAAAAAACATAGGCTATAAGTTAAACATTCTTTTAATGATTTAAATATATCTGGGATGTAATACAAATGAAAATTTGTGTTAAGGATTTGGATGAATAAAAATATGGCATATATTATACTTTATTTTAAATTATAGTTTGTACCAATTAATTTGTGCCAGGATTAACTAGTTAAATAGCACTTTTGTACTGTGATGCACACACACCTTTTCTTTCTTCATCATTTTCTGTAAGCTTGAGCAAGAATTGGAGCAGTCCCAGAAAAAGCTGAATCAATCAGAAAGCAATAGAGAAGCTCTTTTGCATCAGGTAACTGCTTTGGTGTGATGGAAATACTGAAGTTTTCATATTTGGCTATTTCAGTCTTTTTGATTAATCTTCTTATCTCATATTTGATAATGTTCTTTTGGAAAGGATGGAAGGAGATTCTGAAAGAAAGATTTGAATACAGGTATACACCTTTTTGAATGTATGTTCATGTATTAATAAGAACAGTAATAGCAGTCATGGTGCTTTTCAAGTACATTAACACATTATTTGTAACTGCCCTTCATAGTATGCTCTAGAACAACTTCTATATTAGTGATTATTGTTATGCAAAGTGCATGACTTCATGTACATCAGTGGCATAGCAGTATTTGCTGTATGGTGCACTACCATATGAGGAAAAAATTAAAAAAGAAGGCAAACCATCTTGAAAATGATCCAAAGTGTGTTCTGTATGATGCCTACTGATGCAGATAAGGTAGAATCTTAAGGATGCGGGAAGCTGGATGATTATAGCATTAGGAAAAAAGTCCTTTTACCTAAACATTTGTAACTGTATATAAGAGAAAGAGTAAAATATATAAAAGGCTAGTATGTTTCTTGAGAATTGGCATATTATATATTTAATGAGTAGAATTTACATAAAACATAAAACCTTATACATATGTTTTCAATGTAAAAGACAATTAAAACATATAAAATGATATTATTTTGTTTAGTCTGGAGAAATTAATGCTCAGCCATGGTCGCCATAATGGATTTAAATGATCCTTTTAATTTTGATTGAATAAACACTTTGTGGCTTTAACTAGGAACTAAATTATCTTTTTTTTGTTTACTATCTGCAGAACTATTGAGATTTATTTATAAACATTGTGTACAGTTATTGTTTATGTTTGTTACAGTTTAATATAAGTATATTATTTACACTTTCATTCTGTTTTCTGTCAAATGTCTGATACTTCAATACTTGCTTTAGATTGAAGATCTTCGTTCCCAACTTTTGAGAGCAGAGGAAGATCGTGCAGACTTGCAGCGTCAAATTTCAAGTGTGGTTATGCATCATCAGAGCTCCCAGGATGTGCGAGAAGATGAAAGGAGAATTAGAACAGGTACAGATCTCAAGTTTGGTGCTAGATGCCTGCAAATTAGTTAATCAACCTGGAAGTTAATTGAGGTTCCTTTGCTGTTTCAACTAAAACAGCTGATAAAATCCTCACTTTCAAGTTAATAAATACTCTAACAAATAAATATCAATTTTAGAATATAATACCTTGATGTCTGTGGTTAAAACAAATGAAGATTATTAGAGAGAATTGTTTTGGATAGTGTTTTTATGTTATTCCTAAATACTCCTCATTTTTTTTCTTTTTTGAAATTTCCCATTTCATTACATTTGCAGTTTAAAACCTGTCAACTTGAAAATTATAGCAGATGTCCATTTTGTAGCTGGCTTTTGGTAGAAGCTCTTGTGAAGTACCATCATATTCCAGAGTATTTAGGAATATTATCCTTATAATCCAGTATCATTCAGTCATGACTGAAATTGCAGCTTTTTAGAATTCTAGGGAAATGATATTTAGAAGAAAAATATTTTAAACAATTTCAACATGTAATAGTATATTAAATTATATCCTTAGTGAAGCCTTTGCTGTTTTGTTAGATAACTGTCTGACTTTAAACTTTTCAAATGTAATCAAAATGCCTTGGAGAATGTCTTTTATCTTTCTCCTCATTAGCAAAGATATGTGGTACTCAGTATCATAGAAGAACAGCCACTCCAAGTCCAGTGTTTTGGTAATGTTAAATTAATTTGGTTAATGACTTTTTAGGTTTTCATGTCTCAGCTATTGAATTATCTTGATCATGGAAATGTAAATCAGGTAGTCAGATTCCTAACTCTCATATAGGTTACTACAAAATGATTAATTGTGTACATGGTTTAGGTTCAGAAGTAACACAGGATTGTCATTGTAGTGTTCTTTATTGTGTTACTTCAGTCTTAGTGTACAGGCTTAAAAGAGAACTTCATGTTCAAGAAAATCACTTTTTTTTTTTTTTTGCATTTGTTTTATAAATATAACAAGTGTTGTGAAAATGTAGGGAAATATAATGAATGTATAAAACAGACAGAGAGGGAGAAGAAATGAAAAATCAAGCAATTATTTTTGTTTACTGAATTATTTCTTTTTCTTGGAAGGTGTATGCAAACTGAAATTTTCTTTGCCTCTAAAGACTTTTGAAATTTTGGCCTAGGATATTTACAGCTTATTTTTGTCAAGAACTTTTCCTGTAGTTGTAGTATTGAGACATAATTCACAGAAAAAAATACCATCTTGGAACTCACACTCAGGTTGTTTAAAATCTTTGTCTTGAAACTTGTGGAATTTTTTTTTTTTTTTACTTGTTTTTTTGTTTTATTTTCTCCTCCCCAAGGATTAGGGAGTGGGGGGACCCCCTAAAATGATTAGATAACAATAAGCCCTGAAATACTGGTCTTCAGTGGAAGGTTATCATTAATTATAGCCATTTTTCACAGATTCATCAATAGCCTTGTAATAGTCACATATAGAAAATTGCCAGAAGTAAAATGAGAAAAATAATTTTCCACGAGTTCATGTTTCTACTGGGCATATTATTCTGTTCCCACTGTATTATAGTAGCTGAAAGATACGAGAGAGAAAAGCAAGAACTGGAGAAACATATTTTGGAGCTTAAAGCAAAACTGACTCATAACACAGCAATGTCAGAGATAGAAGAGCTGAAGAGACACATGGAGCATAAGGACAAGGAGAAAGCACAGCTTGTGTTACACATAGAGGTAAGTTTTCTTTGTAAATAATTTCCCATATGCTTAAGGTATGTTATAAGCCAGATTAGAGTGTGAGTGACTCTCAAACTCTACTGAGTTTATTCTATGAGTAAGTATGAAAGGTGATCTGAGCTTGCAGAAGTTTTTCTCTCCTGTCTTTTTTAATAAACCGAAGAATTCGCTGTTGCACATGAATTCATGATTTGTATCACTTGACTTCTTCTCATGTCCAAATAAAAGATGATCTGATTTTTATCTGCTGTTACCATGAATAGCAGTTCATGGAGTTACTTCTGTAAGTTTAATTTCAGTCAAACTGAAATACCTTGTTCTATGAGAAGCACATTAACAAAAATAAATCGTAACTTCTCCTCTCTTCACTAATAGATGCAGGGTAATAGTGATGATAAATAAGCATGCTAATAGTAATAATACTGAAAAATCCACAAGATCTATGAGGATGGAAAGAACTGATTGCCCATAGATGATGTAGATGTCCCACCCTGGAAGTACTTGAGGTCAGGTGGAACAGTAGCCTGACAACCTGATGTAGTGAAAGATGATCTTGCCTTTGACTGAAAGTTTGGAACTAGGTGATCTTTAAAAGTCCCTTTCAACTCAAACCATTCTATGACTTGACAGTCCCATAAAACATCCTTTCATCTAAGTTAGAGGAACATGGGCTTGAAAAATGCGCTACTTGGTGGATAAAGAATTGTCTGGTTGGCCACAACTAAAGAGTTGTGACCTATGATTCAGTGTCTGAGTGGAGACCACTGATGAGCGGTGTCCCTCAAGCGTCTATGTCAGTTCTGAGACTGTTTAATATCTTCACTGATGACATGAATTAAAAGCCGCCTTCCTTCAGAAGTGTGCACAAGGCACCAAACTGAATAGTGCAGTAGACAGTCCAGAGTGTCCTTGACAGACATTTCAGAAAGGTCCTTCTCTTTGGTTGGGGCAGTGTCACATGTGAATATAGTCTGAGTGATTTATGGATTGAGAGCAGCCTACAAAAAGATTCTGGAGGTATTCATGGATTGAAAAATGCAACATAAGCCAGCAACATGCACTTGCAGCCTGGAAATCCGATTGTATTCTGGGCTGTATCAAATGAAGTGTGGACAACAAGCTGAAGGAAAAAACTCTTTCCCTCTAGCATGTTCTCATGAAACATTACCTGAAGTAGTGACTGAACTACTCCATGTAGTTCTTGGGCCCCTAGCACAAAAGAGAGATGGACCTGTTGGACTGAGTCCCAAGAATGGTCAGGGGACTAGAACACCTCTTCTGTGAAGCCAGACTGAGGGAGTTGGAGTTGTTTATCCTGTAGAGGGCTTTGAGGAGCCTTTTTTTGCAGCCTTCTGACACTTAAAGAGCAATTACTCTTTTAAAGTGTGGAGAGACTCTTTACGTTTTCTGTATTCATACCATTCTATTGTCAGCTTCTTTGTTGGTTTAAATTAAACGTAATACCTGAAATTGCATTGGGAAAAATTGAAGTCAAAATAAGTTCCAAGATGCTGTTTGAAAATTGCCTATTGTGAGCAGGTTTAAAAAAAACCTGGGCTGCTCCTGTAAAGGAGAAGGCAAGCAGAATGCATTTCCTACTGCCCATAAAATCATAGAATTGGGGTTGGAAAAGACCTTCAAGATCATCAAGTCCAACTATAGCCTAACCAAAATATCCTAACTCTAACAACCGTCCACTACATCATGTCCCTGAGCACCATGTCCAAACAGATTTTAAATATAATCAGGGATGGTAGTTCCACCACCTCCCTGGAGAGCCCATCAGCCTTAGTGTTCTGGCTGGGCAACAGATTATTTGAAGCACACTGGGTTTTTTTTTGTTTTGTTTTGTTTGTTTGTTTGCTCATTTTGTAGTGCCCAAGAAATTCCAGTTACCTGGGTGGCAGGAATGAATGGGATACAAACACACGGAAAAAATATCTCTTAAAACTTCTTCTCATAGAACATGCCATTTGAATGTCAGAATGATGTTCTAGTACTAATTTCCTGCTCTGTGAAAATATGGATGGAAGAGGACTCAGATAGGGGTCACTGTCATTTCTGCAAGTTAGAAATCTGATTTTTCTGATTAGCTTAACAGAAAACACTTTGTACTTCTTATCTGCTTCCCACTGCCATTCACCTACAGAAGCAGCAACAGGAAAATAGAGGTGTTTTTTTTTCTGTATTATTTTAATGAGACATCAAGGAAACAAGGATGTGAATTTCTAAACTTATGTACTAACAAAGCATTTGTCAAGCCTGTTCCAACAGCTGCTCTTATCAGATAGTCTGATTCTCAGTTGGAAGTTAGCACTCCTGTTTAAATTGAGTTAAACTTATCTTTGATTAGTGGAGAGGATGTAACTGTTTGCTTCTGGTGTACATGTGATATAAGAAGTTTCTTGTCATTTATTTAAATGTCATTGTTTTCAAGAATTTGAGTTGTGCCGTACATTTAGTCCCTGTTACCATAAACACACAATGTGATGTAAAATGGAGAGGATGAGAAAGATTATATTCATGTTCTTAAACTCATGATTAGAAGTGAGTTCTATTTTAATTTTTAAATTTCGTGGAGAATTTTAATTTTAATTGCTCTGGTTTACCTGATCTTGAAAATAAATGTAATTATTTTAAATATGTTTTTCTTTATGAAACTAAATAGAAAGTGATTCAACCTTACTAATAGGTTTAAGAAGTAAACAAAGTTTGCAAATTGTAAAAGTACAGTAAGCTAGTTTCTCTGTATATGCTAGTTCATAAACATATACAAACTCTGAAGCTTCTGAAATAATTTGATTTACTCAAGATTTCTCTAATTCTAATTAGATTCTAATTAGGTCTGTGGGGTCTTATAATATTGTTTGAGTGTAACAGCAGACAGTTTGTTTAACATATTTCAAGTTTCCTGAGAAAGAGACAATGATTTGCTTATTTAAGATTAGAATTCTTTAGTAATCAAAATCTTTCAGCGTTAGGAAGATTGAGTGATGTTTTTAGCCTTGTTAAAATCTATTTTATGACTTTTCTTCCATTAAAGATGATGGTGTTAAGCATTATTTTAATTATGCAGGACAACCAAGATATCTGAAAATCATTCAATACAACTTTTATAAATTTATTCTTACAAAATATGAGAAATCCATGCCTTTACCAGCCTGTATCTGTACTGTATCAGTGATTTGTAAACACTGAAGTAATGCTCCAGAAACTTTATGAAAGTGACTAACATGTACACATTTTAAAATGTATCTGAAATCGCATATCTAACTTAAATTCTAAGGTGTTTCAGCTGAATCTTTACATTTACATATGCCTCTGCATATCAGTGCCACTAGCACTAGTGATTGTATGAAGGATTGAAACCTTCTGGATCAATGATTCTTCGTGGTTAGATAGAGTACGAGTCATGGGATTCAGTTCAGATTGTGATGAAATACTTGCAGCGTGTATTCAGTAAAAATTACGTAGGTCACTCTGAAAGCAATGCCTCCTATTTGTTTCCATGAAAACTACATCGGATACAAAGAGCACAGTAACACTATTTTGTAGTGCAAATTCTCAGCTACAAAATACTTTTTTCAACACTGTCACCACCGTTAACTCTGCATCTTTGCCAGTGATGAAAAGGAACCTGTATGTTGCACTTGTAAAATTTTGCAGAAGTGGAGATGACCTGCTGTCACCACTGCTGAAATGTACCGTGCGCTGCCTCACTTTGCTCACATCTACTGTTTGGTCTCCATAATTGTTCAGCAAGTGCTAATGAATGTCAGTGGGTGTAATTTTTTCGGCATGAAGGAATTGAAAGACACACTTTTGCTTCATACCACTTCCATGTCAGATGCCATTCTATCAGACTACCCTTCTGCTGCTGTCTGTGGCATGGAAATAAAATGTAACAGAATATTGGTGGGAAGGTTTCAACCTCTACTGCCATACCACCAATATCCACCTCTGATGCTGTGGGCTAACATCATAAAATAAAAAGCATTAATTTCAAAGCAGCTCTCGTACTTTAGGTGACTAACATAGTAAGCATGGCTGAAGTGAAATATGACTTATTTAGTTCTTATTATAGATTGTTTGCACATAACTGATTTAAAGCATGTCATTGTATGAAATGAGTTGTCTTCACTTTCATTTTAAATGTTCATAAATGTTTTAAGGATTATTGCACTGAACACACAATGTGGTTTATTTTCTGTTCCTACCATGGAATTTGGTTTGCTGTTCATGGTGATAGGTTTAAACGAGGTTGAAAATGCAGGTCAAATATACAGTGTGTAGTCAAGCTAGGGGACTGTAAATCTGAACTAATCACATGTTTAAGGCCTATGATGATTAGTTTCTTTTATAGATAAATAACGACCTCTAAGTAGAAAATGTTGATCTTTGCCTACAGTTTCTTTTGAAAGTTGGAAGATAAGTCTTATATTGGGATTCTGGATATGTAGTGAACTAGAACTGTTAAATACACAACTGTTTTATGTGGAGTTAATGTTGCACCAGTCTTTCAGTTTGTTAACCCCCTTTTCTTTGCATCATCTCTAGGTGGAGTCTGTTCACTGAAGTATTACTGGTGTTGCATTCTGAGGGCTGATACAATCTTCAATCAGTTCTGAAAATAACACTTGTGTTCAAATCTCCTGAGCATTAAGTTATTGTAGCCCAGGATTAACTAAATAAATGCAATGAATTTTTAAGAATTGCAAGAAAATTAATTCTCTTTTGAAAAAAATCCCTAGGTACTAATGCCAGGAGGAGCATTATTGTCAACTGCGCCGCTGGTGTAGTGGTATCATGCAAGATTCCCATTCTTGCGACCTGGGTTCGATTCCCGGGCGGCGCAGAAAGTTTTGATGATCAGAGGGCTGGAGCACCTCTCCAACGAAGAAAGACTGAAGCAGGTTCTAAGACACTAATAGTAAGATTATAACTAAGACATTAATGATATGTGGTCATGGCAAATACAGGAAGGCATCTCCTTTGAACCATTCATGTAGTGAGCTGGGGGTCGGCCTCTTCTCTCGTGTCATTAGTGATAGGACCAGGGGGAATGGCTTCAAGCTACGGCAGGGGAGATTCAGGCTGGACATGAGGAAGTATTACTTTTCAGAAAGGGTGGTCAGGCACTGGAACGGACTGCCCAGGGAGGTGGTGGAATCACCGAGCCTGGGGGTGTTCAAGGAAAGACTGGATGTTGTGTTGAGGGACATGGTTTAGTAGGAGCTATTGGGAATAGGTGAACGGTTGGACTGGGTGATCTTTTAGGTCTTTTCCAACCTTGGTGATTCTATGATTCTATGATTCTATGATTCAGGGCATTGATCCGGACCTGCTTCTTATTCAAGCAAGTAGTTTCTGATCATATAGCAGAACATACAGATAAGTGATTCAGACAAACTCTATTTTAGAACTTCTAGCTTTTCTTCGTTGTAGACAAGTCAAACAATGTTGAGGTGTACAGACAGATAATAGAAAGTGGCAAAGAGATTACTTAACTCTAACTGTTACCTTAGAAGTGGTAGCTGAATGTATTTACCACGAATTCTCCTCCATTTTTCAATGAATGTCTAGAAATTGAGAATGTGCTAGAATTTTCCAAGGAATCAAAACACAGGACCATAACCTGCACTTTTTATAGACACTTAAGTATGGACAGTGGTGTGTGAGGTGTACTACTGCAGATACAAACATCTCTGCTTGATACTTGTATATGCCAATTCCTGTAAAGTGAAGGTATACATATGCCACACGAAGAAAGGATTTGGACAATTACCAGTAACCAATCTCTCTATGTACATAGATAATAAATATCTTTTCATACAAGATTTTTTACTAAAAGAATTTTACATATCTTACAGCAGTGCATATCTGAAAAATTGCTTATTTAATGTTTTAAATACCAGTAGGGAAAACTTCTACAGATTGGGTAGAATTTTGAAATGAACATGAATGTTAACATACAGACAAACATATGGGTCTTGTACATCGCAAAAGGAATTCAGACCGTACAGGTCAGTACATTTGGGAGTTCTGTTATATGAATACGAAAATAAAGGCTGTGGAGAGATAGTCTTTTTCTGTTCACCTTGTTTTACATGAAGAGCTACGTGCAAAGTTGAAATGCTGCAATTTCTCAGCTTATATCCTCTTTGAAAAGTTCTATCTTGTTTCCTTAATAGTAAATTCACATTTATATTAGTATATCCTTGTCAAAGTTTATTCCCCCCATGCAAATTAGCTACTGTTGATAAATTAGTTGTTTTAACATAAGCATAGAAAACAAATGTTTCTGATTTTCTTTTCATGTTACTAGAAATCAATAATTTGGAGACTAAGACTTCTGTTAAATGAATGTTAACTAATTAATTTAGCATTGCTTTCTGTGTTTAATCTTAGTCTCGTATTCCATTAAAGTGTCTGTGGGAATTGTAGTGTACTAATGAAATGTGTTCTTTGGGGGAATTCTGGTTAAATATATATTTTTATAATGATGCAGATAATTGAATAGTACATTGTTTCAGGCGGATGTTTTCTGTAGTGTCTCCAGAAAAACATGAAATGTGAAGTGATAATCTGGTTGTTTTTTTTTTATGAGTCAGTAGTGAAACAAATCGTGTATGTCTTTTTCTGATGTATAGAATTGTAAATCGAGGAGATTTTCCTGTTGGTTTTTTTCTGCCACCTGCATAATATTTACTTTATTATTTTTTACTATATTTACTTACTTTATTACCTAGATAATGTGGTGTCAACATGTTTATTAATTTAATCTCAGCTGTGTCTAGAGTGAGCATGTTCATCTTACAGGTGAACAACTGATAAGCAAGTGGATCATCCTACTCCAGTTTTACATCATGGGTACAAATAAAAAGCTGAACTGACTTTTCTTGCCTTTAGTGTCAATACATTCCAGTCTGTGGTGTATTCTGGCAGCGCCACAGTCTGTCACCTGCTAGTCATCTTGCCAGGACAGTAAATGCTATCCTGGAAAGATATCCAATGTATTGTCTCTCTGGAGGCAATGATTGGCTGGAGGTGGGGGGAAAATAAGTAACAGAAAAACCTTGACAGCTGACTAAACAGCCATCCTATGTGCATTTGTAAAGACAGTTATCAGTTCCTAGGCAAAATAGTTTTCCTTTGTCCATTCTGAATTGCTGTGTTCAGTTTAGAGGACAGTTCTAATTTGTTTCAGTTGTTCTGAAATCTAATCCTCTTCTCTAAAGTTTTTCCATACTTTAAAGCTTGATGATATCTTTGAATGGAGTAGGCCTAATAAATCCATTTAAGTAATTAATAAAAATACTGAATAGCATGAAAGTGGTCTAAGTAGGCCTGAAATATGGAATGCTAATCTTATTGACAACCTTAATAAAATTCATTCTTAATAAAATTCTTACTTACAATCTGAATTTTAATTTAGTTTGGGATAGTGAAGCTTCAGTAACTGATTTCTAAATGTGCCCCTGCAGAATACTTATGAAAAACATTTTTACTAACTTATGAGGCTGTCTTGGGAAATATCACTAGTTTCAAGATAAGCAGCAGTTATTATTTTTAAAATACATGTTTTTTTTCTTTCCTACTTCATTTCATCTGTCAAATTTAATTCAGTATCGAAACCAATTGATGTCTCCAGAATGTTATGCTGAAATGAAGTGCATGCAAAGAATTGTTTTATTTATTCTAGAGACATCCAGAGAGCTGCTGTATTTTCTTTGTATTTTTCCATTCATAAAACTATTATTCTTTCTGTTGCTCCAATAAAATTGGGTAATACCTAGCTTGTATATAGATTAGTTCTGTTGTGATGACTGGTGTTGTTTCCTGGCTAGTTTTCTTTTTCCTCTCGATATATTGATGTCCATTTCCTTATATCTTACTTTTTGATATATTCTGTTTGTTTAGGGCATATTATACTAGGATTTTGGTCACCAATTTTGTCTCAGACTTGAAATACAAAAAACAACATGAACAACCAGAAGAAGAATAAATGCCAAAAGTAAAATATAGGAGAAAATGGCCATGTATTTTATATTGAGTGTTGAAATTATTTACTATTTCAGAGGGAGATTCTGTGAGCTAACAGGGTATTTATTCCTAATCAGGGAGATCTTTTAAACAATTCTTTTTTATATAGAAATGTATTTTGAGCATTGCTGTATGATTGTTGTTTTTTATAAGGTTTCATACTGTATATCTTCAGTATTGAAATTTTTGTATTTTACTGTGGTGATTTTAGGCGTTAACATCTGACCTGGAAAACAGGAAGAAGCAGCAGCAAAAAATGCTAGACCAGCTAAAAGAGATGCAGAGTTGCTACAAGGCTAGTGAGAATGGACGTAGGCAAACAGAACTCCAGACTGCTGAGTTAGCTCATCAAGTTCAAGAGAGTACCAAGGAAGCAGAACGGTACCTTACTGAATTCAAGCATTCAGAGACGCTCAGGCTGGAAACTGAGAAAAGAAGAGAAGATTTGAAGGTGAGAGCACAGGAAGCCATCCGACAATGGAAACTGAAGTGTAAGAAACTGGATCGTGAGGTGGAAAAACAAAATGAAGCTATAAGTGAACTGATGGATAAAAATAATCAGGTAAGATAGTCTTTATTTGTAACCGTCACATTTACTTTCAGAAATGAGTATAAGTTTATTTATGCAAGTTGTAACTTAAACTATCCACCTTCTTACAGTCTGGACTAAATTTTCTAATGAACTACAAAATAGCAAAAGGAACGCAATATTTTTTTAAATATTACAGAGTTCCAAATTCTGTTCTTTAGCCAGTATTGCAGCACCTTAATCAAACCTTTTTTTTCTTGTAAAGAAGAAAGTCGTGCTATGAAAGTTGCGTTTTTTTTTTTTCTTTTCACATTGCTGTTAATGTAGGTTATTTTTGTAAATTTTTAAATGATGAAGTTATATATTGTTTAATGTAGTATGCTCAGGTCACATATTTGAATATAGTATTTGTTTTTCCTGTGTATGTCAAACTGCTAGTATATCATAATGCTATATGGATTTTGACACTCTGGGCATATTTTTAATTCCATTATGTTTTTAAGCTTTTCTCAAACTCTAGGCTTATAGTGATACCTTTTATTGTCAAAGTCTACAGGTTCTGAAATTTTTGCAGAACAAAGCACTCTACTTAGATGTTAGCTTCCAATGATTTTCATTAAGTACTTTAGGTGGCACTGGATTTCTTTTTTATATTTCCTAGGTCCTCAAGGAGAAAGATGACCTCAGAAAACAACTTCTCTCTGCTATACACCAAGTAGAAAACCTTCAGAAAGAACTGGATGATGTGCTTACAAAAAGAGCCCAGCAGGAAGAACAACTTCACTGCAAAGAGGTAAAACTAAATGAAATGAAATCTCAACAACTATCTCTGGAAGAAGAGATAAAGGAAGTTCGAGGTACTGTAAATAAATTAGAGAATGAGTTGAAAAAGCAAATCTTTCTACAAAATCAGATGCAAGCTGAAAAGGAACATTTGGAGCAAGAGCTTGCAAGTAGTAACTCAATTCATGAAAAAGACCTGGAAAGACTCTTAGAAATGCAAGCAGATGTAAAAAATTTGAGTGCTGTGCGTGTGGAGCTTACAAACAGAATAGCAGAAGAAGAAAAAATCAAAAAGGAATTACATAAGAGCCTCTCAGAACTCCAGAAACATCAGGAATCTAAGCATGAAGAGATGACTTCAGCTAATAAACAGCTGAAGATGGAAAGAGAAGTTCATCAACAGGAGTCAGCGGAACTTCGATTAGAGTTACATAATGCTAAGATCAAACATGAACGAAACATTCAAGAGCTTACGAAACTCCTTAAACAAGAAAAGGATGATGCAGACTCTCAGATCAGAATGCTAAAGGTATCCTGTATAATTCCAAAAGCAATCTATTTTATTTCTTTTGAGGGATTAAAGTAGTAAAATATGTGTTGTAAAACATTTAACACATGTTATTGCAAGTCTTCATAAAAACTGTATTTTTATAGTAGTTTTAGAGCAGAAGTTTTTATTAGTTCACAAGTAATGGCTACCTATATCTGTGATCAGGACAGGAGGAGATGTGTAAAGCCCTAGTGCTTTAACGTCATTAGATCCTTTTTCAACTACTATTTTAATAAGTTATCATCATGGCCCTATTAGATTACTTGCTTTATTTCAGAGATGGTGCATTTTTCTAAAGATTTAAATTGCACAATGTTGGAGTACCGTCACTGTATTTAGAAACACTTTCAGAATGCAAATAGTGATCAAATAATAATTAAGATCAATTTTGATCATTTCTTTTTTGATGAGTTCTTAGAATTTCTAATTTCTGTACAATTTCTCAAGGAAGTGACACTACATGTGTAGTAATTTCTGAAGTACCAAATTTTATTCAGTAAGAAACAAGTTAATGTGTTGGGGTCACATCCTTTAGTCCTGATTCAAGGCTTATGCATTGGAAAGAAAGCAAGTATTTTAGTGGTTTACATGCTCAAGAATTGAACGTGGTGTAGAATTGAGCAAATTGAAATGGATGCTCTAAATTGCCATTTATTATTGACATTTGTATGAGAACTTCTATATGAGCTATACATTGCACTGTTATTTAAGCAATTTGATTATATGATTGAATACATATGTAAAATAGTATTTTCTGTGTTCCATTTTGTGTCTTCATGTCAGTGGAGGCAGTGGTTTTCAGGTTAGGTGGTAGGTTATCAACATAATTTGAGTGTGCTTCAGAAGCACTATAAATATATATTTCTCCTCAGTTCCATCAGATACTTTTAATTAAAAATTTGCCATGTAAAAATTAAACTCATTTAACCACAGGAAGCTATAAAATCCTTAAAACTGTAGTGATTGCTGATATACTTCATCATAGGTAATATAAAGAAATTAATTTCTTTTCTCACAAATACACAGAGTAGGTTAAAATGCATGCTTTCCACATCTTGGCAGTTAAGAATTGATGTTTCTTAGAAAAGCATGGTTAGTTATTCACGGCAGAACTGATAATATGTTAAGCACTGCATAACAGAGCCTTTAATGAAGATAGCAATAAAAAAAAAAAAAAAAAAAACAACCAACAAAACAAACAAACAAACAAAAAAAAACAAAAAACCAAACACTGGGTAGCTGTTAGTGGAAGGATCATTAGAAACAGAAAATATTTTGACAGGAAATGCTAAATGTTTTGGGAACTTACTTTATAATGTGTCTAGCATTGTTATATGAGTGATCTGTCCAGATAAGATTTTTTTTGCATGAAATTGCAATTGATGTCAAGGGAAATGTATTCTGGATGGTGGTAATCGAAACCTGAAATGATTGTGTCTGTTTTTCCCTTGTATGGAAAGGTCAGTGTTATTGAAGCCTTGATATTGATCCTGACAGTTGTGACTTAGCAGAATATTAAGAGAATTCACTTTTTTCCTTTTTTCTTTTTCATTTACAGAGCTATGACTTTATCCTAGACTTTTTAATCTACATACAATTTTTTACAGCTTCAGCACAGATGAGCAGAGAGCTTGAGGGAAATGAATTTTGTAAGATACTTGGGTAGGCAGCTCTTTTTAGGAGCACACAATGATAATACACAACAATTTCAAACATTGATTCAAACATTGTGAGAGCAACAAAATAGCTAATCAAAATAGCTAATTTGTGAGAAGATCTGACGAGGTTGTGGTGGTACAGGTGGTATAGTTTCTTAGCCTTTAGATTGCATTTGGATTTCACTTTTATAGATAGATTTTTCTATAGTTAATAGTGCGCATAGTGCATAGTTAAGCTAAAATTAGCATGATTTTAAAATTCTTTTTTTGTATGCTTTTGTTTGTTTGTTTGTTTTCCCTTCATTGCACTGTTTTTATGCCCAATAACCAACAGTCTTTTCCTATCACCTGGATAGTCTTGACTTTATTTATAATCTTTTTTCAACCTTTGTTGTAAGCAATTGTAAGCATTTCTGTGAAAAACAGTACAACATAACCCTGTTCAAAAGTTGATCATAGTAAAGTCTAAAATATAAAATGGATTCAATCCAGTTCAGTGAAATTATGAACACATCTGCCACAAGTGTACTAGAAATTAATAAAAATTAATGTTCTCAATTGTGACGCAAAGGTAACATGATTGAGGAACCTGTTTCTTGGATTGTTTCATACACTTTATTATACACTTACCTTTAGTAGGAACTGAAAAGAGAAGTGTATAAACGTATTAACTAGAAGTATTCTAGGTGTTGCATGCTTGTCTTTGTGTTTAAATTGAATTGTAAAAAATATTTTTCTTAATCTTTTTCCCAACATAATATATCAGGGCTGCTCAGAAAGTAATGCCTCCTATTTTAATATATTGGCCCACGGTGTTAGAGGCAGATGTTGGTGGTGTGGCAGTAGAGGTTGAACCTTCCCAGCAATATTCTGTTATATGTTATTTCTGTGTGACTCATGGCAGCAGAGGAGCAGTCTGACAAAATGGTGTCTGACATGGGGGTGTGTGTGAAACCAAGGTGTGTCATTGAATTCCTCCTGCAGAAAAAAACTGCATGCAACACCCATTGATATTCACTGACACTTGCTGAACATTTGTGAAGACCAAACAGTGGAAGTGAGCAAAGTGAAGCGGTGGATGGTACATTTCAACAGTGGGACAGTGGGTCACCTCCGCTGCTGCAGATTTTTACGAGTGCTGCATGCAGGCTCTTGTTCGTCACTGGCAAAAATGCACAGTTAATGATAGAGACTATGCTGATAACTTGAGCTCTGTAACTGCAAATTTGCTCTATGAAATAGTGTTACTGTGCTCTTCGTATCTGATGTAGTTTTCATGAAAATAAATAAGAGGTATTATTTTCAAAGCAAGCAATGGATATTTATAGTCCTGATTCTCTTCAGGAATTTACTCTACAGGTGTGGTTTTGTGTATAACTGCATCTTGCAATTCAACTATATTAAATCTGGTTTTGGATAATGATATGTTTGTGTAATTTTCTTTGTTTTGTTTTGTTTTTTTTTTTTTAATTTACTATTTTATAGTTCTGGAGAATTTCTCAAATCAGTCAGATGAATGAGAAGCAAATATCTAATTGAGGAAAGGCGTGTCTCATCTTTTCCACTGGAAACTGATATATTTTATTCACTCAACTACTTTGGGCTCTTAGGTCCCTTAGATGTTTTTTTCTCCTATTTTTCCTCTATAACGTCTTTACGAATAGTGTTAAGAACACACAGTTCTAGAAATGGAAAATCAACCAAACCTTTGAAGTTATTTCCCTGCAGATATAAATTTAGTATTCTTACAATGAAATGAGTTTTGGTATTTCTAATTCCAAATGATTGCAGTAATGGAAAATTTGCATAAACACAGAGCTTCTTTAAGTGATGTCAGCTGATGAGTGTAACAGACTTGAAATGCAGAGTCTGAGGCTTCTAATTACTTTTTTTAAAAAAACTGTATAGTACTACAGCATCTTACAGAAATTTACAGTGTACTTAGCTTAGAAGAATGTCAGTGCTATGTGACCTGGTTTTGCAGTTATATTTGCATTATTGGTAAAGTTCAGGACAACTCTAAATTGCAAAGGAAAAATCTGTATCATTAATTTTTTTTTGGCAGCACTAATAAATCATAATAATAACAACGAAGTCATATTAAGTCATTGTATATAATAACTTTACTTTCACTGTATGAAATGTATTTCCTTAATTGATTATTATTTTTGTGATATGTTTGCCATATTCAGATAACTGATTGCATTTAATATTAATTATCATTCTGTGATTATGTTCCATAGTCTTGAAACTCAACTGTCTGAGAATGATGGAAAGTAGTACATATAGTGACTTTGTCATCTGTTTATCTTTTACCTCCAGATGGAACTTGTAGAACAGAAGAGCATAGTCAAGACTCAGAGTCAACAACTGGAGAAGATAAAAATAGAATGTGATAAATTGACAAAAGAATTAACCCAGTGTGAAGAAGAAAATACAGAACTCAGGCGAAAATTTGAGTTTGTAAAACAAGAACTAGAGAAAAAGGTAAACATAATTAGTCTCAATTTTTTTTAACTTGAGATAAATGTCTAAAATAAAAGTGAATTATAAAATTAGATTTAGAATAGAAAATAGAATTAGATGTAGAATTATAGAATTAGCAAAAAAAAAAAAAAGGAACACTCCAACATAGGCACATTCAGTAACAGATGCTGTAGTACATACTTCGTATATAAATCAGTGCTGAATTATGAATCGTATCCCTCCATAGATATATTGAAACTGCTTATAAGTGAAGTATAAAAAAAAACTTATCAGAGTCGGAATATAAGTTTTTCTTATATATGGGTAACTGAGAAACTAACAAATATCTAATTATGCTCTTCCAATTCTCTTCTGTTCATTAGCTGCATCTACTCTTTGGTTGTGACTAGTATATTTACAAAATTAATGTAATTTGTTTTAGGGGTACAATTGCATAGGCTACAATTTCTGTTGTATGTGACAGCATTTTCATAGTTAGTAGTGAAATATCTACGGATTAAAAAAATGGGGGCAGAAGTTTAATTGAATTTTAGGATTACTGTTGAATAAAAATGGTTTTCAATTTCTATTTTTCTGTGAAAAATTTTATTAATGTTATTTTTCATCATTGCAGTGATTACATTCACTTCTGAGGTAATCTTAAACTTGCAGGCTATGAACTTGGAAACTGAACTTTGTTTTAGCTTGCTCCCATTCTAAAAAGAAGTGCTTTAGAAGTTCAACTCCGTCAGGCTAGTACAAAGTACTTCAAATGAAAATTCAATATTTTTTTGTCTTGGTTGAGATTTTAATCATATAATGTCTACTGGTCAGGAAATGTGGCTGTAGAAGGGTATGTAGTCTTCTGCAGAGAGTTGAAAGCTAGCTCCAACTTTATGTAGTATTAAGAAGATATGTTTTTTAGACAGAGATGATTGCTTATCTTTGAAATGTTTTTCTCAGTGCCAATCACTAATAGAGATCCTTTGAATACATTTCAGACATGCAGACTGTCAATTCAAGTTTCACTTGGGGTCCTATGTTTTTGACGAGATGCCTGTTTGAGCTCCAGGACAAAAGATTAGAAGTTAATTAATAAATATTTTATTAACTTTTTTTTTTAAAAGATTTTTTTAAAATAGGTTAAAAAACTTTTTTTAAAAATAGATTAATGATAGAATACATAGTTTTGTCTATGAAATCAGGCTTGATGATTGCTGGGGTTGGGTTTAGTGCAGTTTGTTCACAACTGATTTCCAGGAGAATATGGAGGATCAACTGAGGATTTTGAGTAATATGAAAAGGTGTAACATTCCATGGCAAGGAACTATACTCAGTGTCTGGATGTAGCGTGATTATAATATTGGAAGATAGTTATATAGCTGCTTATGCAGGTTACATTATTAATACATTAATACATTATTAATGCAATAATTTGTTGTTGCTCTTTAACTGCAGGATAAACAGATCAGTGATGAAGAAGATCATTTGAGAAGGATGGACAAGGCAAGACTGCAGTTTAAGGTTCAGCTGCATCATTTAGAAATGGAAAAGGAATCTATTCTCACCACGATCGGAACTGAAATTGATGCTGCTTGTGAGATTTTTTCTCGGGATTGCATGGAGAAATTCAAAGTAATTCTAAGTTTTTCAGTATGCTGCATTTCTTATTGTTTTCTTAATAGGTGATTGTAGCAAAATCTGCTAAGGCAATACCACTCAATTGGTATAGATAATTTAGGGACAGTAGGACTAGGGATAATTAGCTGATACAGATACAGCTGCTGGGTACTGGGTATTAGAATGAGATATTATGAAGATACCAAGAGGTAACTTTGAATTCATCAGAACTTGTTTTACTTTGTCTCCTGAAAGTAAACCATTTACTGGCAAAAGGCTTTCAAAGTACCATCAAATGTTGCTTTTTCTTCCACTCTAACAGCCCAGTAAGTCTCTGAAGGCAGTGTGATCAGCAAATGGCTGCTAGTGTCATGAAATTTAGGAGGTGGCATGGTCAAGTTCAGACTGCTCAGGTTAACCTCATGGCTGTTCTGTGTGCATGCTACAAGGCGCAATGCAACTGTTTTTCCAAGTCTTTACCTTCTGGTTCAGCCAAATCCCATATTTTTCCAAGGATAATATCAGAGAGTCAGATTTCTTAAAAAACAATGCAGCTTTGCTTGCCCTGACTCTCCCCATGTATGTTGGATCTACCTGTGTGTAATAAACTTCGTACAGTGGAATCCCAGCATAAGACTGCTGGTTGGGGTGAGTGCCACAATTTTCTTCCCACTGATTCCATAGAGGCAACAAGGCTGGTGAAGGGGTTGAAGAATATGCCCTGTGAGGAGTGACTAAAGGAACTGGGGCTGTTTAGTCTGGAGAAGAGGAGGCTGAGAAGAGGCTTTATTGCTCTCTTCAAATATCAAATATCTGAAAGGTGATTGCAGAGAGAGTGGGGTTGGTCTCTTCTCACTGGTGACAGATGACAGGACGAGGTGAAATGGCCTTAAGTTGTGTCAGGGTAAGTTTAGGTTAGATATCAGGAAATACTTTACAGAAAAGGAAGTTAAGCACAGGAATAGGCTCCTCAGGGAGGTGGTTGAGTCTCCATCCCTGAATGTGTGTTGAAAATGCATTTGGATGTGGTGCTCAAGGACATGATTTAGCAGAGGGTTGATAGGCTAGTATGCTTAGGTTGTGGTTGGATTTGATGATCTTTAAGGTCTTTTCCAATCTGAGCAATTCTATGATTCTATGATTCAGTGAGTTTGCATAATTTACCTTTAAATCTGACTTGCTCATAGATAAACAGTTCTACTGAACCATATACAGATATGATTTCCCGGCTGGACTTTATAGCAAGGAATATTTATTTGAAGATTTTTCAGTAAGCTGGAAAGAATATTTTCTCTTTTTCTAATACCCTTTTTAATGCATACTTCTTTCTCTCTCCCTACTGTACAGGCAATATCACTTACACCAACAGTGCTGAATGATCCTCATCGTTGGTTAGCAGAGACAAAGGTAATGGTCAAGTTGTCTGAATTGTTGCTGAGCAATCTAATATTCAGCCTTCATAATCATTTACTAGAAAGTGTGTTTGAAAAGACAGTTAAAAGGGGAAAAATTGCAAAAGCTTTCCTTTGTCAGCAGTTATGATATTCCCAGACTGTTATTTCAGCTGATAAAATAATTTTACGGATTTACTATTGACAAGAGACACTATAGCCAAATAAATAACAATTTACAAAACAAAACAAAACAAGAAAGTAGCTACAGCGATTTCAGTGATCTGTGTTTCCCACTGTATAAATTGAGACAGTCAGTAGATTATTCTGCAGGTTTATATTTAATGAGACAAGAAATAATTTGGAATAAGGCTCTTCTTTATTAAATCTAGATGTTATTTGATTGAATTCCTGGAATTTCCTTTCCACCTTTATTTACAGTTTCTGAATTCTATAATGTAATTGCATTTGTGCTTCAAAACTATTTTGAGGTGATGATTGGTGAATTACAACTATTTGGCAGCTTCCCTCCTGTTCCTCCAAGATATGCTTCTTATCCAGTATCTTTTAAAAGGATTCAGCTTTCAATGATCAAAGCAGATCATAAAGAAATTGTGGAATACATAAAAATTTCTGCTTTGTGTAAGGTGTACATGTAAGATAATTTGAGGTTATTGCTGATATATGGTTTAAGTAATACGTTTAGACCAGGAGAGGCTATCGCTATAAATAATAAAGATAAAATCAAAGAAGAGATGTTATGTATTTTTATAATTTAAAAAGTGATATTGTCATATTGAATAGACTTTTCAAAGTGTACCTAATAATCATTTGCGTACATTTCTCTTGTAAGTATCTTTAGCTAGTAGGGAGCAGTCTAGAATGAATGAGAACTTGAGACGTCATCCCTCTATTTTTCCTTTTTTTTTTTATAAATAAGTTATAAAAGTGTTTGTTAAAAACAAAATTAAAACAAAGATAATATAAATCTGGGACAATCATGCCATAATAGTTATCCGCATTTGCATTTCTGCATCATTGCAACTGCTTATGAGTATTCAAAAGTTGACGTCTTATTTTTTCCCTAAATTTCTGAATGACACTGTTTACACTGAGTCCAAGGAGTGGCAAAATTTGTAATAATAATGGCCTTGGAACTGATATTTTTAGTAGTATAATTAAATATTGTAATCACTTTTTCAACTACTTCTGCCAAACTACCTCTTTTTGAGAATTAATTTTGTTTTTCTCTTCTGAATGCTAGTTTTTTCTCCAGATTACTAGTCTCTAGAAAGTACAAATTTTCTTCAATACAAATACTTTTGAACATGATTTCTGAACTTTAATGTTAAATATGGAGTTTGTTTCCTGCATTTTTCTGAACATCTCCTGTTTGTAGCTAAAATTGTTTAAAAACATAGCTTTGAATGTATTAGGGACATTTATTTTAACTTTTTGTTAAAATATAATTTTTCACTGACTTTCATTTTATATAAACTCTCTAAGTGCTGTGTATGTTTCTGGTGTTCCATACTTCAAATGAGGAAAATTTTTTGGGAATGAATAGCAAATTACATTAATAGTGCTGTGGAAATCTCACAAGACTAGATAAAAATGACAGAGGTAGATCTTGTGTGGAGGCAGAAAGATGTCTGTGAAGCTCTACCTATTGTGGCTGACCTCCTGGAAGAAGGATGATTTAACAAAGGTGTTTGGAATAACATTTTGTACTAACTGGGAAATGAAATGCGCATTATTAACGTTAAGCTCAGGAGGAGATCTTGATGTCTGTATAAAGCTCTAAATGTGAATTTCCTTACTTAAGTACAGCAACAAAAAAAGAAAAAAAAAAAAAAAAAAAAAAAAGGAAAAAATCTGTGTATTGCTTTTGTGCATACAATTATCAGCCTAAATATATCTCTGTTGAGATTCCTTGAGGGTCCTTCTAATATATATGAGTGTTTTCTTCTATTATAGTTATGCAGTAATAGCTACAAATGAGTAAGCTGTGATTCCAACGATAATTTGTTTAATTAAACTTTGTCCTAGTAGTTTTATTGGAATTCTATTTATTGTCCCCATTTTCAATGTAGACTAAGCTGCAGTGGCTGTGCGAAGAGGTGAAGGAGAGAGAAAGTAAAGAAAAAAAGCTGCGACGCTACTTGCTGCAGAGCCAACAACATCTCAAGCACTTTACACAGCTGAAGGAGTCTGAACATCAGTCTCTCTTCAAAAAGATAAAAAAGCAAGAACAACTTTTGGAAGAAGTTTACAGAGAGAGGAGAGGTACGCTGCTAGTTGTCTTTTTGTTAAAAGGAAGAAAGATTTACAAAAGGTACTAGTTATTATTCCTGTGCATTCAGATGTAATAACTAGTTGATAAAATACAAATCCTTCTGTATTGCCGAGTGGAGTAAGACAAGCTTTGATTCTAATTGAATGACACTATATATAGAATACTACATATACATAGTTTTCCCCCTCTTTTGGCTTGAAATTTTTACTCTGGAGCATGACAGGATTGGTGGCAGCATCTGCACCATCTGTGTTTGTTGTGAAAGGAAAACAATAGTCTAATTTTACTGATCATTGCAAATTTCTGATAAGGATGGACCTCGCTATCTCAAGCCAAGTGCCAGTTTTAAATCTCAATTCAGTACTTGTAGCTTTCTATTTATAGTTTTCTTGGAGATTGAGCAGTATGCTGTTAGGAGTAGATAAACATACTTTCAGCATGAGCTCCTTTCTTGAGGTGAGTGCTTTATGAAAATAAGGATATCTTATTCTTTCATCATCCTGCTTTTCATATACCTGCAAGCTCACTTACACTTACTTCTAAGTTAATGAAACATATTTATTCAACGAACAGTATTTTGATAATAAAGCCAGAATATCATAGCAAACTCAGAACATAAATTTTGTACAGTACACCTTTATTTTCATGTTCAAAAACAGTTTATTTCACTGTCAGAGTACTTTGGTAGTAATGAAGAATGTAAAAGTCGATCTTTGTTATATCAAAACTTAGGTGAAATGGAAAATTCTGAAAAGCAGTCTTGGTCAATAATAATCCATATATTGCTGAGTTGAGTCAGTAGGTTTTACAGACACTTCCTAATTTCTGAAGGTTTTTCTAAAGATATTTGTTGTTTACTGTCATGGCTGCTTTTGAAAGAGAACTCCACGTCTACATTTTTATCAGGAACCTGGAAAATTAACTAGAAATTGCACGCTGTATGCATATTCATACATCATGGATCTTGGCAACACCAGAATCAATCATTAAGAATGCATGCTCCCATAGGAAGTTCAAGAAAGACCTTATCACTCTCTACAACCACATGACAGAAAGTTATAGCAAGGTGGAATTCAGCCTTTTCTCCCAGGTGACTAGTGATAGAATGAGAGATAATGGCCTTAAGCTGTTCTAGGGCAGATTCATGTTGCATATTAGGATGTGGCATTTAGGGACTTGGTTTAGCGGTGATGAATTGATGACTAGATAATCTTAGTAGTCTTTTCCAACCTTAGTGATTCTAGGATTCCAGTAGTAACTGGTGATAATTGTTTGCCCCTAGGTACCATTGTATAAAGATAATGGTCAAGTAAAAAGTGTAATGTAACTGATGCTGAGAATAAGGTAACAGGAATTGGAGCTAGAAGTTTTGCATGGGAAGAAGACAGGAAGTGCATTTATTATGAAAAAAATAATTCCAACCATTAAGGCTTAATCTTAGCACAACATTACCAAGGTTGGTGAAGATCACAGAGATCATCTATTCCACCCATCCACCTACGACCAATATTCCCCCACCTAACCCATGTCCCTCAATGGAACATCTAAACATTTCTTGAACACTGTCAGGAATGGTGACTCAACTAACTTCCTGGGAAGCCCATTCCAGTGCCAGACCACCCTTTCAGAGAAGTTTTTCCTAAGATCCAACCTGAATCTCTCCTGTCACAGCTTGAGACCATTACCTCTAGTCTTCTTGCTAGTTACACAAGAGAAGATGCCAAACCCCACCTTGCCACAACCTCCTTTCAGGTAGTTGTAGTGAACAGTAAGGTCTCCCCTAAGATTCCTCTTCTCTAGACTAAACAATTCCAGTTCCCTCAGCTGCTCCTCATAAGGCTTGTGCTACAGAACTCTCACCAGCTTTGTTGCCTTCGTTATCTCAAGGCCTGTGCTGAACATTTAGAGAATACTAATTATTTCATTTATGTACGTGTGTATAGTCCTCTTTTTCTAAGGTACTATCCCAGCAGAGGAGCAAGTCTCATAAGGCATCAAAAAAATGTGGATAGCTTAGAGCTAGGAGGAAAATGATTAAAGAAAAAGAAGTGGTCTCCATAAAGAAAGAAGAATGCAAACAATGAACCCAATGCTCGAGAAAGCATGCTAATTGACACAGGTTTCTGGGATCAGAATTTCCATATTGGAAAAGATTCTTTTTTTCATGTTTTCTCTTAAAACTTTGTTCTGGCCTTTATTCAGAACTCAGTACTGATAATGACGAGCCAATATTTTGTCAAAATACTACATTTTGGTCTGTTTTTTTAGTCATTTTGTATTTAGATTTGGTGTAGATTCACATCAGAGCGAGCTTTTAAGTAAGTTTATTTACAGCTTCTGGTGGCTGTCTTAATTATTGTTGAAAACATTTTGTGAAATATTGAAACAAAAATAAACAATAGCGAAACAAGAGTAATATTAACAAATAAAAGCAAAGCATTTTTGTAAATATTTTGTAGAATGATACAGATTATTTTCTTCACAGGAGCAGTAAGATCCTGCCAACATTTTCTACCTCCGCTTACGGAGAACATTGATAGAGAACATGCTTTGATCTTTCAGGCTTGAATGTTTCCATTGTTGTCTTTCATTTCATTATAGTTTTATTTCCAAGACCCTGCTATAATATTAATACTGTTTTAGTGTTCTTTGAATAATTATCTGCTAAGATAATCTCCCTCTGGCCCATTTTTAATTTAAGTGCATAAAGCAAACCTTATTTAGTTTTTAATTCTGTTGCATATATTTTCTTCAGATTTTCTCAAAAATTGATATCCTGTATTTTAATTTTAAGCTATAAACAAAGCTATAAGTAAATACTAAGCTGACAAGAATGGTCAAAATTAATGCTATTCAATAAGCACAAAAAGTAGTATGTACTTGTCTTGTGCTTTCCATTTAGAGAGAGCATTTGTTTGTTACTTGCAATTATGCACAATCCAAACTGAGGAGAGATCAAGTGAGCTAACTTGCTTTGGCTGCTTTGATAGATTTTTACCAAAGTATCCCATTTGCAATCTTCATTTGAAAGTATTCCTAAAAGATTATTAATTTTTTACATGTTTAGAGATAATAGAGCTTTTTAAGTTTGGATGTTCTGCTTATGGGGAAATAACCAACACTGGTTGTAGGTAAATAGAAACTACTTTATCAATTCATTACACTTGTTTTCTTGATATAATTTGATTCCAGATTGTCTAAGATATTTCTGAAGTTCTGAAACTTTGGTTTTGTGGTTTATTGGTATTGCGGTTTGTTTGTTTTTGTTTTATTATGTAGTTTTTGGACAGTGCCACAGAATTTGTGTTGCACGATTGAAAAAGGGAAGCAGAAATTTCCATTTACAAAGCCAATTAATTAGGTTCACTTTAAGCATAGTCTTCATGAGTGCAAATTCGATTTATTTAATCTTATTCTAATTTAATTGGGTCTTATAGGCAATGAGCTTTATAAATACAGTTTAAATTATGACTTTGCCTAACAGCAATGTATTTATGTAGTTTTAGATGCTGTGGTGACACAGGCCTTCCAGTAAAGTGGGTCCTCCACTTTTAATAGTATTCAATGCTTTAGAACAGACATATAGAATGAATAATTAGAATCATGGAATTAAAGTACAACAGAGATTTACCACAGGTAATCTGAGACCAGCTTCCTGGTATTTCTTTCATTTCATGAGGCAGCTGGTGGTTACTAGCTAACCAATAATTTTGGCAGATGGCAGCCTGTATTGCTTTCACCTATGCAGGACATTATTAAATAAAAGAAATATAAATTAGATTAATGAATGTGCTGCTTTGAGGGACAGACGGATAGTTGATGAAAGGGCTGGTTAGTCAGTCCTCCTTCGTAGATATTGATCTGTGGGCCAACCATTTTTTTTTATCATCAGTGAGTTTAGTAAGAAGAGCTAATAATAGGATAACAAAATTTGGAGTGTTAGTAAATTTGTTGATACATAGAGAAAGTGGATCCTGAGATCACTATGTTTCTTTTACCTAGTGCCCAAGAACAGACATCGCATTTATTGCTTTTTTGTACAATTATTTATATCAATTTTGAATTTGAATCACTGTGCCATTGATTTTTAATAACAGTGCATGTGACAGTGTATGCAAGATTAATGGACTTACCATATCCATGTGAATTTAATTTGCCTGCTTCAAAGTCTTGTAAACATAGTTTTTTTAAAATTTGGGTGGGTGACTGACTTTCATTCAACAAATCAATTACTTTCTACGTTGGTAGAAGATAAATAACAGAATTCACGTCTGTTAGTGCAAGATCCAAGAGCATGATGTATGAAGTGATACATTTAAATGTTTAGAAAGTGGTTTTTTTTTTTCCCTTAACTATGTTCCAAGACAAAGTATGGCTATTTAAAATTCAAATGCTTTTACAAAAAGCCCAGTTTTTAACTGTGATGCAGCTAATAGAGTGTAAACTTGTAGATATAAGTGACTTGGAAAAGAAAACTGGAAAAGCTATTTTCCCAAAGGAGAACACAGTACCATAGAAAAGATGTTAAACTGTAAGGAGAAAGCAATGGTTAGAGAATCCAAATGAAGGAGAGATGTTGGTTGGCTGTTATTACTTAAAATAATGGAAGAAGTAGCTCACAGGGAATACAAAGACAATCAGTAATGACATGATGGGTAAAGCAGGAGTAAAGCAAATGAATGAAGAATGAATTTACTCCTATTGTTAAGGTTCTCTGTTCTTTTTTGTTAGAACAGTTTTGAATACATAGTCTATTGTCTTTTCCCTTCTTCACTAAAGCGTTTGTGAAGTGAGGGGGAGCAGAGAGGCAGACGCTGATCTCTCTCTGGTGACCAATGATAGAACTTGAGGGAATGGCATGAAACTGTGACAGAGGTTGTTCAAGTTAGATATCAGGAAAAGTTTGTCACCAAGAGTGTGGTCAGGCACTAATACATCCTCCCCAGATAAGTGATCATGGCAGTAGGTTTGCCATAGTTAGAGAAGCATC